GGGCCTGTGAAAGAACCAATGGGGTGCTAGAACAATACCTGAGGTGTTACGTAAATTACCAGCAAGACAATTGGGTAGACTTGTTGCCATTTGCAGAAGTGGCATATAATAATTCCGTACACAGTAGCACCGGATTCACTCCTTTTAAGGTCGCGTCGGGCCAGGATTTCGTACCCATTCCCGAGCTACCACAAGATGATCCTCAGAATCCCTCCTTGATGGATTGGATTGAGCAATTAAAAAGCACATGGGCAGTGACTCGGAAGGCATTAGATGAGGCACACCGGGCCCATAAGGCGCAAGCTGATAAGAAAAGGTCCCCAGCTCACAAGTATAAAGTGGGTGATAAAGTCTATTTGTCTACTAAATACTTACAGACTACCCAGAAGTCCAAAAAGCTAGGGCCTAAGTATGTGGGACCATTTCGTGTGATTAGATTGATTAATCCAGTAACAGTTGAATTGGAATTGCCAAAAACCTTGAGACGAATACATCCTGTATTTCATGTTAGTTTATTGAAACCTGAACACTCATCTCCCTTAAGGGCTGATCAAAGCGCCCCTCCAATTCCCATTCTCATAGAGGGGGAGCAACATTTTGAAGTTAAGGAAATTTTGGACTCTAGAAAACACCATGGTAAAGTCCAATATCTGATTGCCTGGAAACATTTCCCTTTATCTCAGGCTGAATGGGTGAATAAACGAGATGTCCGAGCTCCCAAGAAAGTACAACAATTCTATACCAAATACCCAGATAAACCATAATTATTGTATATATTCTGTTTCTCTCTCTTTTCTTTCCTTTTATTTAGGAATAACGTCTCTTCTGCAAGGGGGGCCGAATGTCAGCTTCAGCTTTGCCTGCTTCAGCTGCCATAAGAAACGGGGGGAGGGATTAGTTATGGAGCAAAGGGTGGGAAGAAGCAGGAGGTGGTTTTTTTTTTCCTTGTAGGATGTGTCTTCATGAGAAACGAAAGTGGATCTTCAAAAGGGGACGGCTGACCAACTGCCCTACATTCCTGATGAATGACGCTGCCAGACGTGTTGCCACCTGACCTTTGGAAGACCTTTGGATTGGCTGATGATTTATGAACACGAGGGGGGGAGAAGCTTAGTAGATGCATTTCGCGCATTTTGCTCACTTCCAGCTTTACCTGGGTTGCTATCATTTCATATTCAGTAAAAGTACTAAATTCTTCAAAATGCTTGAATTTGGGTTTTTCTTTCCTGGATACTGAAGGAAGCATTCCTGACAGCCTCTCTTAGGGGTTTCTGGCAAAAAACAAAAAAACCACCCCAAAACAAAACCCAGGCTTTTTTTTTTTTTTTTGCTTTAATTTATATACTGCCCTTCTCCGGAGACTCAGGGCGGCTTACAATGCGTTAAGCAATAGCCTTCATACTTTTGTATATTTATACAAAGTCAGCTTATTGCCCCCACAAATTGGCTCCTCAATTTACCTACCTTAGAAAGGATGGAAGGCTGAGTCAACCTTGAGCCTGGTGAGATTTGAACTTGCAGTAATTGCAAGCAGCTAATGTTAATAACAGTGCTTTAGTCCACTATACTACAGGCTTGCAGCAACAGTTTGGAGCTTGTTAAACGTTCCTTCACTCCAGCCCTGGATATTTCCAGTCCAGGCCACTCGGCAGGCAGGCTTTTATTTTGTCAGCCCAAGTGGGGGAGAGGTACATAGGAAATCGCTCTGTCTCTGCAGCATCGGTCATGTGACTGAGTGGGCATGGCCAACACAATGTCACTCACAGCAAGGTGCCGCCCCACCTTGTTGTGAGCGACGTCGAGTTGTCCACGCCTACTCAGTCACTTGAACACCAAGCCATGTCCAGCCACATGACCACCAAGCCACACCCACCAAACAAGCCACACCCACAGAACCAATAGTAAAAAGATTTGGAACCCACCCCTGTTATGGATCCCTGCTGATTCTTCTAGATTCCTTTCAATACCATCAATCAACAGTTGGGATGAGATTCAGATGTAATCCTTTATCAGCAAATAGATATACGTCTAGTCCTACCATTCGTTTAGTGACTGTTTGGAGTTACAATGGCACTGAAAAACTTACCCCCAGTCCTCCTATTTATGACTGTTGCAGCATCCCCATATCTTCAGAACTGTCGGCAACTGGCATGTATTTATGAATGGCTGTAGGATCCCAGGAGTCATGTGATTGCCATTTGTGACTTTCCCAGCTGGCTTCCCAATAAGCAGAGTCAATGTGGGAAGCTGGATTTATTTATTTATTTATTTATTTTATTTTATTTATATACCGCCCTTCTCCCGAAGGACTCAGGGCGGTGAACAGCCATAATAAAAACAATGTACAAAAATAGAATTTAAGAGCAGATTAAAATAATTAAATCTTGGGCCGAATTTAAAGCTCTCATTTTAAAACCAATTTTAAAACCCCATCAAGACCAAATTAAAATCATCCCATCAGAGCGGCTTGCTAGAATAACAGGGTCTTCACTGCAGAACGGAAGGCACGGAGGTCGGGGATCCTTCGTGTGTCCGGGGGTAATTCATTCCAGAGGGCAGGGGCCCCCACAGAGAAGGCTCTCCCCCTGGGGGTCGTCAGTCTACATTGTTTGGCTGACGGCACCCTGAGGAGGCTCTCTCTGTGTGAGCGTACCGGTCAGTGGGGGGCAATCGGTGGCAGAATGCGGTCTTGTAGATAGCCAGGTCCTAAGCCATGGAGCACTTTAAAGGTGGTAACCAACACCTTGAAGCGCACCCGGAAGACCACCGGGAGCCAGTGCAGTTCGTGCAAGAGGGGTGTTACATGGGACCGATGGGTCGCCCCCATTATTACTCGCGCGGCCGCATTCTGGACCAATTAGAGCCTCCGGGTCCTCCTCAAGGGGAGCCCCATGTAGAGAGCGTTACAATAGTCCAGACAGGAAGTGACAAGGGCGTGAGTGACTGTGCGCAAGGCGTCCCGATCCAGAAAGGGGCGCAACTGGGAAATCAGGCGAACCTGATAAAAAGCCCCCCTGGCCACGGCCGTCATATGATCATGCAAAGACAGCCGTGAGTCCAGGGGGACGCCCAAGTTGCGAGCCCTCTCTGAGTGGGGTAAGATCTCATCCCCAATAGTCAGCGATGGTGTAAGCTGGCTATATCGGGATGCTGGGAACCACAGCCACTCAGTCTTGGAGGGGTTGAGTCTGAGCCTGTTCCTCCCCATCCAGATCCGCACGGCCTCCAGGCAACGGGACATCACGTCAAGGGCATCATTGGGGTGGCCTGGGGTTGAAATGTACAACTGCGTGTCATCGGCATACAGTTGACACTTCACCCCAAAGCCACGGATGATCTCGCCCAGCGGCTTCACATAAATGTTGAACAGGAGGGGCGAGAGAACCAATCCCTGTGGCACCCCACAAGTGAGGAACCTCGAGGTCGATCTCTGCCCTCCCGTCAACACAGACTGCGTACGGTCAGAGAGGAAGGAGGAGAACCACCGTAAAACAGTGCCCCCCACTCCCAACCCCTCTAGCCGACGCAGCATGATACCATGATCGATGGTATCAAAAGCCGCTGAGAGGTCTAGGAGGACCAGAACAGAGGAGCAACCCCTAATTTGCTTAACAACTGAATGATTCATTTTACAAATGTAGTGATTTGCTTAACTGCGGCCAAAAAAGTCATAAAATTGGGCATGACTCACTTTACAACTGCCTTGCTTAGAAACAGAAATGCTGTTCCCCACTGTTGTCATATGTTGAGGACTATGTCAACTTCGAAACAGATCGGGCACGTCACAGCCATTTTCTCTGTTTCTCAGCTTGACACAATTTGAGGGGAGGAGGGAGCTTTGGAGTGTCAGACCAGACATCAACAACTCACTATCTTGTGGGAACCAAGGTCATCCTACTATCAGGGTTCCAAGAAATAGATCCATTGCAAGCAAAAACTCTGAGGCGGGTGGATTCCTCAAAAAATAGCTTTATTGGAAATATCATATTGGCACATAACTGGTGAAAACCAACTCTTGGTGGTAGATGTACCTTATACCAATGGTATAAGGAAGTATGGGATATTGCCATAAATGATAAATTGACTTGTAATATTAAAGTAAGGAGGGGCATAATGAAAGTAAATGAATTCAATGGAATCTGGAAACAGTTCCTAATATATGTGTTTTCTGGAGGAAGGGGGATACCACCACCAGAAGAAGGGTTAAGATTTTGGAAGCAGGAATGATCCCGAGGGGTGGGAGAGCACTCGTTGATTGTTTGTATTGTGTATATTGTTATATTATATATTATGATTCATGTATGTTAAAAAAAAATTTAATAATAAAAAAATATGAAAAAAAAAACAACTCTTGGTTTTCACCTAATTAAAAGTAAAAAAAAAATCCCCTCAACCCCAAACAATCAGTCACACTGCCCAATCAAGGCAGCGTCCGCTGGTCTGGTGACATCACTCCTCCTTCCTCCGGCCAGGTGTGAGAACGTCCTTGGTTCCCAAGAGAAAGTATTTTATTTTGACTACACAACCCCAGCTATCTCTAATCCTCCCCCCTCCCTATCCCTTGTTGCAGTGTGGCATCACTAAAGCTCCAAGATGGCTCCGGCCAGATCAGCTTCAGAGTTGACACCTACCAGGTGCTGGCCAGAGACTGGAAGAGGTTACCAAGGAGACTCCAGAATACCTAATTGGACAATGTGACCTGTGACAAAGATGGAAGGAACTGTCTGTTCTTTAATTATACTGAAAGCGCGGGAAATAGCCAGAGCTGGTTTTGCATTTCAAACGTGCCGAAATGATGTACTCAATAAAGCAATTCTTTGAGAAAGCCGAAAGTCTCAGAATTGCTGGATTGTTTGGGTTCATTACTCGGAACCTTGGCAGACTACATACAAAAGATGGTGCTTGAAAAATCTGAATTGATATGGGACCTCTGGGCCTGTGATAACTCTCAGTTCCATTCTTCTATATGCCACTTAATGAACATGACTCATTTGTTTCATACGACAATTCAATCTTTTTATTATGGAAAACTAACATGTATAAGAAGCGTTGTGTCTATTTTAGAAATGTAAAACACACACCTAAACAAACAAATTATATCCCAAGAAGAATTACTTAAATATTATCTAAGCACAAATGGGGTGGGATGAAGAGGGGGAGATGCTCATTGATAATATGACCAATTATTAAATATGAATGGATGATTTTAGATAACACTCTTGAAGTATCCTTATGGAAGGATCACTTTTCTATTTCATTTTTATCGTTAAATGCTCTTTTGTATTCAGATCAGGTCTTAGTACAATAATGTAACACTTGGGGAAGAAGATGCAGCTCAGCAGCCCAGCACTGGAGGCCAAGATGGAGAAGACCTGCACAGCCACCATGTACTTCCCCTTGGTGCTCAGGTAGGTAGGCACGAAGGACACCCAAACACTGCAGAAGACCAGCATGCTGAAGGTGATCAGCTTGGCTTCGTTGAAGGCCCCAGGCAGATTCCTGGCTAGGAAAGCCACCACAAAACAGATGGCAGCCAGGAAGCCCATGTAGCCAAGAGCGCCATAGAACATAGCAAGAGAGCCTTCATTGCACAGCAGGAGGATTTCTCCTGGCTGAGAGTTCTTATCAGAGTCCGGAAATGGGGGCTGTAGCCCTAACCAAGAGGAGCACAGAACAATTTGGACACTAGAACAGAGAAGAATGAGACTGTTGGTGAAGCTCTTTCCCAGCCATCTCCTTACCCGATTCCCTGGCTTTGTGGCCAGGAAGGCCATCACCACCGTGATTGTTTTGGCCAAGACAGAAGAGACAGCAACCGAGAAGATGATGCTGAAGGCTGTTTGGCGGAGGAGACAGGTGGCTTTGCTTGGCCGGCCAATGAAGAGGAAGCAGGACAAGAAAGAAAGCAGGAGGGAGACGAGGAGGACATAAGAGAGGTCCCGGTTGTTGGCTTTGACAATGGGAGTTTCTAGGAATTTAATGAAGATTCCCAACACAAATCCTGTGACTAAGGACAAGAAGAGGGAAATCGAAGCTAAGATGATCCCCAAATGTCCTTGATAGCTCAGAAAATTTATAATTTTAGGGACACATTGATCTCGGTCTTCATTTGGATACTCATCTTCTGGACATTTGGTGCATTTCTCTGCATCTGAAAAGAAGAAAAACATTATTCTTTTACATTCATGATTTAAACTCATGATTGAGAGTGAAGGTTCATTCTCCAAGCTTATGGGTTGCTTTCTCAATATTTCATTAAAAGGTAAAGGTTTTCCCACGCATATGTGTTAGTCGTTCCCGACTCTAGGGGGCGGTACTCATCTCCGTTTCAAAGCCGAAGAGCCAGCACTGTCCAAAGACATCTCTGTGGTCATGTGGCCGGCATGACTAAACGCCAAAGGCGCACAGAACCCTGTTACCTTCCCACCAAAGGTGGTCCCTATTTTTCTACTTGCATTTTTTTACAACAGCTAGATTGGCAGAAGCTGGGACAAGTAACAGGAGCTCACCCCATTAAGCGGGACTAGGGATTCGAACTGCTGAACTGCCGACCTTTCGATCGACAAGCTCACTGAGCTTTCGATCGTCTTAGCCAGTGAGCCACCGCGTCCCTTATGAATGTTTCATTGCCAGGCTAGATAATATCTTCAATGGAGTTTAGGGGAAACTAATCACTCATGATTCAAGAGCCAGAAAATGCATAACTGATATCCTGCATGTTTCTGGGAATGGAGAACTGTGGCAGTCAGTAGTATGGATGAAGTCTGGAAAACTTTGCATCACACAGTTACCTTTTCTCATTGTTTGCTGTGTTGATATTAAGGTGATATTTTCCCTATCTATTCCAACACTGTAGACAAGTAACCTCAAACCTGCTACCGTTACATTTTCCCCATGTGTTTTCATTTCCATGGTTGCTTTTACAATCTCTTTTTTTATTCTGGTCATTAAACAAATCGTTTAAGTGTATCCATTCTTCTGAATGGGCATTTTTTGCCAGAAATTAGCAAAAAAAAAAAAAAAAAAGACGCAAAATGTGATCACGTGGCCAGAGGATCCTTCAGCTGATTATAAATATGAGTTGATTGCCAAGTGCCTAAAATGCAGTCGTGTGATTGGTGGGCAATGCAATGTTTTATAATGGCTGAAGTGTTTTACAGGCCATAAAATACCATTTCCAAGATTGTCGTAACTTGACAGTCGTTAAGGAATGTCTACTGGTACTTTCTCATTGAAAACTGTCTGTGTAAGCCCATTTTCACTTCCCGTCTGGACTACTGTAATGCTCTCTACATGGGGCTCCCCTTGAAGAGCACTCGAAGGCTCCAACTGGTCCAGAATGCGGCCACGCGGGTGATTATGGGAGCGACACGGCGCACCCATGTAACACCGCTCCTGCGTGAGCTGCACTGGCTTCCGGTGGTCTTCCAGGTGCAATTCAAGGTGTTGGTTAACACCTTCAAAGCGCTCCATGGCTTAGGACCTGGGTACTTACGAGAACGCGTTCTGCCACCGATAGCCTCCCACCGGCCAATATGCTCCCACAGAGAGGGACTCCTCAGGGTGCCGTCGGTCAAACAATATTGACTGGCGATCCCCAGGGGGAGAGCCTTCTCTGTGGGGGCACCTGCCCTCTGGAACGAATTGCCCCCGGAGGTTCGTATGATCCCTGACCTACGTACCTTTCGCAGTCCCCTTAAGACTCTACTGTTTCAACAGGCTGGGCTGGCTTTATAACGAATTTTAATGGGTGTTTTAGTTTTAATATAGAGCCAAAATTATTTAATATGTTTTAAATTGTTTTTAAATTTTATGGATTTATGTATTTTATTGTGGCTGTGCACCGCCCTGAGTCCCTCGGGAGAAGGGCGGTATAAAAATTTAAATAAATAAATAAATAAATAAATAAATTTTCCCCCCTAAACTCTCCTTCTTACCTTGTTGAGTAGACATAGTCCCCTCTGCGCAAGGAACACAATCGTAGCAACAAACAGGTTCGCGTTCACGGGCCACCTTGATGGATCCGGGCCGGCAATTTTCCACACACTGGGAAGGAGGGAAAGTCTACACACACAAAGAGAAAAGATCAAGGAAAGTAAACCAGGGCTTACTAAGTCTAAGGACTTAGACTTAAAATAACTTTATTGTCACTTTAAGGTAAAGGTAAAGGTTCCCCTCGCACATATGTGCTAGTTGTTTCCGACTCTAAGGGATGGTGCTCATCTCCGTTTCAAAGCCAAAAAGCCAGCGCTGTCCGAAGACGTCTCCGTGATCATGTGGCCGGCATGACTCGATGCCAAAGGTGCACGAAATGCTGTTACCTTCTCACCAAAGGTGGTCCCTATTTTTCTACTTGCATTTTTTAGGTGCTTTCGAACTGCTAGGTTGGCAGAAGCTGGGACAAGTCACGGGAGCTCACCCCGTTATGCGGCACTAGGGATTCAAACCGCTGAACTGCCGACCTTTCAATCAACAAGCTCAGCTCAGTAATGGAGGACAAAGTATCTCATGTGGCATTATTTCTCTTGCTGGCCCGAAAAGCAGAGCTAAGAAAAATGCCCTCTATCTTATTGAAGAGAGTCCACTTATTTGACCCTGACTAATATTGGAAGCAACTGCTTGGAAGATCTACCAATGTTCTTCAAAGACCAGCACACAGTGAAGTGGAGCAATTAAATTTCCCTACTGTTATGTTCTGGGTGAAGAATGGAGGTGAGGCTAGAATGATTTCTAACAGCTCTTTATTCAATACTGCCTGTGAGGCAACTGTTGCTCCCTGGCTAACACAGCTCCTTTTATAGGGAAGCTGATCAGCCCACAACCAATCAGGAGAGAGTATTTTCCCGCTCCAACAGAGGACCAGACTGAGAACTTCAACTGACAACAATATACAATACATAACACCTACCTTGTTAAGCCAATTCAAGTCCTCAATACCATCCTGGCTAATAATAAATTTGAAGTTTTCAGCTCCCTGGCTCTCCAGCGTTGCAAATTTGACTCTGGTCATTTTCTCATTGGAGACGACGACCCAATTTATTATGTCAAAGTCGGCTGTTAGCACTCCCGTCTCATCCAAACGTACCCCTTTCATGGAAGAATTGTGAAACCTGGAGCTCTGAAGGAGAGGATGAAGCTAAAGTGGAAGAGAAAACTGCAGCCTGTAGAAAACACGAAGTAACATTTCTTATCTCAGCCGCCCATTTCGTAATCGCATCTTTTACAGTTCAGGGATTGTTCTAGACATCTGCTAGACATATTGATATATTTAATGTGACCGTTGAAAGTTACAACAGCGTTGGAAAAGTGACTTATGACCATTTTTCACACTTACGACCATTGCAGCATCCCCAAGATCATGTGATCAAAATTCAGATGCTTCATCTTTTTGACAGCTGCAGTCCCGTGGTCATGCAATCCTCTTTTGCGACCTTCTGGCCAGCAAAGTCAATGTGGGAGCCAGATTTGCTTAACAACCTAAGTTACTAATTTAACAAATGCATTGATTCCCTTAACACCTGTGGCAAGGAAAGTTGTGAAATTAACTTAACAAATGTTTCACTTAGCAACATAAATTTTGGGCTCAACTGCGGTTGTAACTCAAGGACTGCCTGTACATTGTTTTGTTGCTAAATCCCGCAACCTGTGTTGACAACATTGGGTTTCATAAATTGAGCCTGATTACTGAATGTTGCACATTTGGGAGAATCATGAAAATCATCAGGTTGTCACCAACTTAATTACAATAGCCTTACCATGCAGTTAAAAAATTCATCTGCATTTCCTGCTCCAGGCATCTTTTAATAAATTCTAATTTCAAAAGATATGCCATAAGTAAGTTGTACCAAACAAAAAAAATATTTTGGGAGCGACGTGGCGCTCCCACGTGACACCTCTCCTGCGCGAGCTGCATTGGCTCCCGGTGGTCTTCCGGGTGCGCTTTAAGGTGTTGGTTCTCATCTTTAAAGCGCTCCATGGCTTAGGGCCAGGGTATTTGCGAGACCGCCTGCTGCTACCGATAACCTCCCACCGGCCAATACGCTCTCACAGAGAGGGCCTCCTCAGGGTGCCGTCGGTCAGGCAATGTCGGCTGGCCGCCCCCAGGGGGAGAGCCTTCTCTGTGGGGGCACCCGCCCTGTGGAATGAGCTGCCTCCTGGAATACGATTGATCCCGGACCTCTGGACCTTCCGTAAAGCCCTGAAGACGTTTTTATTCCATCAAGCCGGCCTAGCCTAAATGGTTTTTAATTGGGATTTTAAATTTTATGGATTTGGGGGTTTTAAATTGGGAAGCCAGTGATTTAATTCTTTTTAATTATCTTAACTTTTGTATTTGTATGTTTTTTAATTTTGGCTGTTCACCGCCCTGAGTCCCTTCTGGGAGAAGGGTGGTATACAAATTAAACTAATAAATAAAATAAATAAATAAATAAATAAATAAAATAAAGGCAAAAAATGTCAATGGCATTTACATATAAATAACCCCGATATAATAAATGAAGCTAATATAAAATCTTTTTACAGTAAAATGGCTTTTAAAAGGTATTATTTAGAATTGAAATGCATACACATATTTGTGAGTTAATCTGAAGACATATTTAAGACTTACCTATTTAAGAAATATATAAAGAGGATGCATACAGAAGATCAAATATAAAAAATCTGGCTCTGCCTAGCCAACTTTGACTAATGTAGAAATGAAACAGGGTCAATCCTGTAAGAAGTTAGATGGACAATGAGTATGAAGTCCCAGGCCTGCAGGCAAAATTGAGAAGTTGGGACAAATGGCAAGGACTAGCCCCCTGTAATGGGCAGTAAGAATAATCTTGAAGAAGAAGGAGAAAGAGCCACAACCAAGACAATGGTCAGATAAAAGCAATTTGAGTCTGGCCCAGAAGCGTACCCTGAGAAAGCATTTCAAACTTGAATCTTCCTAGTTCTCATGAAAATAAAGGAAGAGAGGGAATACGTTCAGATTTGCAAGGTTCTATTGCTATAACCATAAAATATACCTAACCTTAGCATTCATAATAATTTCTGAGCATCAAGAAAATTACGGAGTATCCAGCACCCTCTAAGACTTGAGTGTTTGAACGAAAACTACGATATAGATCTAATAAAAATAAATTTGACCTTAATTTGTAGAAGACCCTCTTTGCTACCTGTTGCAAGTTCTTCCAGGGTCCAATAAGGATAAAAAATTTGCAAGGGAACAAAAGTAAATAATTAGGAAGGGATAATAGTAGAAACAGTGGGGTGAAAGATAAGCAGTAAGAGAGAGAGAGAGAGAGTCTAAGGGTGAGCTAAGTTTTCAATATGGCTAAAAAGAAGGAATTGGAGAATGGATTCCCAGCTACAGGAGGGAAAATACCTGCCACGGTTCCAACGTTGGAGCACCTCTTCTGTTCCCATGCTTCACCTCCATCTTTTTGGATCTGGACAAATAGGCAGCATCTAAAGAACGGGCAACAGCCCAGATGGTATCATGAATGTAGAACCTGTCTAGAGACAAGATTGTTTCGATCTCCTCTTCAGACAGAGTGTCCAGTTGCTCTTTTTCCGTGCATCTTCTCCATTCTTTCACGGAGAGAGCCTGTTTTGTATCATTACAGTTAAACGACCAATTCACAAATTGCTCGATAGCAGAATAAGGGACCTGAAAATCAAATTTCATCGTGTCGTGTGACTGGATGAGGAAAGAGAAAAACCCATGAAAGTACTGGAAAGAGAGTTCGTTATTGAGCAGTGGCAATGAGACATCCCACAGGGCTGTGATTATCAAGACTTTGCCTACAACGGGCTGGATCAAGCTTTCCGCCGTTTTGTGAATCAGATATAATCCTTGAAGGAAAGAGCTCACCTCAGCACAGTAAACAAAGACATTGACTTGACTCCATCTCTGGAACAGAGCAGACTGGATGACCATATAGCTGGCTTCCTCAGAAAAAGTTTGTGTTATAACAACACAAATGCCGTTCTTGAGCAGCATTGGGTTCAAAGTCTTCATGGCTCTCTCTCCGGTATTGGTATTTGGAGCAAGGAGCCCTACCAAAGTCCACCCGAAGTGCAGAAGCAGTTGGACAATCCCTGGGTAGTGCGCTCCTTCTTTCGGGACCATATGGTAGAAAAAAGGGAAGAGTGTTTTGTCACTGAAAACTTGCGAAACAAAAGTATAACTGATCTGAAACAGAAAGGAAGAAGTTTCAGCAAGTGGAATGCCAATTCCACTTCTCCAAGGAGGAGAAGAGAAGAGAAGGGGAGGGGGAAGAGTAGAGTAGAGTAGAGTAGAGTAGAGTAGAGTAGAGAAGAGAAGAGAAGAGAAGAGAAGAGAAGAGAAGAGAAGAGAAGAGAAGAGAAGAGAAGAGAAGAGAAGAGAAGAGAAGGAATGGTGTGGAGAAGAGAGAAGGAAGGAAGGAGAGAGAAAAGAAGAAGAAAGGGAGGGAGGGAAAGAAAGAGAACTTAGCAACATAAATTCTGGGCTCAATTCTGGTCCTAAGTCGAGGACTATCTGTATAAGTCTAAGCGCTGGTGCTATTGCTATGCCACAGAAAATCTGTGATTATCCCAAGAGAGAATAAATAAAGAATTTCAGCCACCCAATTAGGTTCTGAAACCAAAATTCCCAAGTGCTAGAAAGACACCAGATTTATTCTGAATTTCACTTTCTCTGAAACTTTTCCTCTTTTGATCTGATCCTGCACTTTGTAAGCACAAAGGAAGGCAGAAGTGCCCCTCAGCCAACTTGGGAGGATGGTGAGAATAGGAATAGGAATAAAATAGAATATAGCATGGCATAGCATAGCATTATAATAACAGAAAATAGAAAATAGAAAACAGAGTGGCATGGAGTGGAATGGAATGGAATTAGAGTAGAGTAGAGTAGAGTAGAGTAGAGTAGAATAGAATAGAATAGAATAGAATAGAATAGAATAGAATAGAATAGAATAGAATGGAATGGAATGGAATGGAATGGAATGGAATGGAATGGAATGGAATGGAATGGAACGGAACGGAACGGAACGGAACGGAACGGAACAGAATAGAATTCTTTATTGTCCAGGTGTGATTGGACACACAAGGAATTTATCTCCACTGCATAAGCTCTCAGTGTGCACACATACAACAACAAAGTGATAGGTCATAGGTCATAAATCATAATTACAATCATTAATCATAAGAGACAACTACCGAGCATTTCACTGAGGCTGCCATTGGTGGTGCCATCTTTAATGGAAAATCAAAATAATAATAAATGGTCAGCTCTATCAAAGAGGATCCTTTGGAGAAGCTCATGCTTCTCCAAAAGATCATTTTTGATCAAGCCGACAATTTTTTGCTTGCTTTGCTTGCTCTGCTCAGAAATGGCAGATCTTTCTGTTAGATTCTGGTGAATATTCATTTTGCAAGGCGCCAACATAGGTATCTGATCCGGACTGGGAAGTTAGTGCATCAATATACAGTTTGACCACATGACACAATTAGGTCTGTCACAATAGAAAGGAAGGAAAAAGAAGTCCAAAGAGATCATAGTCAGAGAAATCCCTACCTGTGGGATTTTGTAGGTGCCCAGCATGGTTGAAATCTGGATGGAGATGTCAGAGTTGGCCCCTTCAAGGACAGCGAGGAGGTTTCTTGGTTTTCCACATCTATAATTTGGGACATTGGTCTGCCCAGTCGAAAGTTGGTCCAGTAAAGCATCTGATGTTATGATCTTGTTGAAATAGTTGTCATGGATGTTGTAGCCCAGAGTGATATTAGGTAAAACCTTGGGATCCCAGTTGATGTCCCGAATGGCAAAGTAGAAGGAGAGGATGTTCCAATAGTCTGTAGGTCCTTTCCTGAAGAAGAATGTGAAAAACGTGACTTCAGTAACAAATGTAATTTTCCAAAGCCCCCTGCCTCTTCTTCTGCTAATGGATCAGGCCCTTTTGCACATAATACGTTTATTCATTAAAATCTTAAGAAAGTTAGATATGAATTTTACACTGTACATGGTGCAAATTCATGTATCCTATCATAGAATTCTTACTCTTATAGAATTCTGGAATTCAAAAGCAAATAATTCAACCTCTTCTCATAAAGATTCACTAGCCACAAAGGAAATGTGTACCCATGAGAGGTAGACCTCCAGCTCTGTTGAAATAGCTCTAAGAAGGTGCCCAAATAGGAGACTCTGAGATATTTCATCCAATACAAGTAGTCCTTGACTTACAACCAGGGGTGAAATGCTCCCTGTTCAGACTGGATCGCCTGATCCGGTAGCAATGGAGGCAGGTGGTTCGGAGAACGGGTAGCAAAAATCCCTGCCCTCCCCCCATGCCCAGCTGAGCCACACGATCATCGGAGGCTTTTTTTTAATTATTAAAAGCATTTTTTCTACAACCTCTTCGGCTGAAAAAATGCTTTTAAAAGTAAAAAAAAAAAGCCTCTGATGATCGCGCGGCTCAGCTGGGATCGTCAAAGGCTTTTAAAAACATTTTTTCTACAACCTCTTCAGAGGTTGTAGAAAAAATACTTTTAAAAGCCTCTGATGATCCCAGCTGAGTTGCCTGATTGGCAGAGGGTTTTTTTCTTTTAAAAGCCTCTGGCGATACAAGCTGAGTTGCCTGATCGTCAGAAGCTTTTAAAAGAAAAAGAGCCTCTGTCGATCAGGCAACTCAGCTGGGATCGTCAGAGTCTTTTGAAAACATTTTTTTACAACCTCTTCGCTGAAGAGGTTGTAGAAAAAATGGTTTTAAAAGTTTTTTTTAAAATGGCCATGCCCACATTACCCCACCACCACCAAGCCACGCCCACAGAACCGGTAGTAACAAATTTTAGATTTCACCACTGCTTACAACAGTTCATTTAGTGACCATTCAAAGTTACAATGGCATTGAAAGAAAGTGACTTATGACCGTTTTTCACAGTTACAATCTTTGTAACATCCCCATGATCATGGGATCAAAATTCAGGTGCTTGGCAACTGGTTCATACTTATGACCATTGATGTGTCCCAGGGTCATGGGATCCCCTTTTGCGACCTTCTGACAAGCGAAGTCCACGGGGAAGCCAGTTAGGTTACTAACTTATCCACTGCAGCGATTCACTGAACAACTGTGGTAAGAAGGTCGTAAAAGGGCGCGAAACTCACTTAATTAGTGTCTCACTTAACAACAGAAATGTTGGGCTCAGTTATGGTCCTAACTAGATAAAGGAATACCTGTATTTTAATCAGCAAAACCAACAGCAGAAGCTGGATCTATGTTAGGATACATCATCTGCAAACCTCTCTCTAAGTTGATTGATCTTGTGACTGCTTCTTCGGATGAAGAGTTTGGATAAAGACCCACCTCCCTCCCTACATGAAGATTCCCTTTCAGTTCCAAAGTATGTTCTCCTTTCATTTTAATCTTCAGAAGGAATTTCCACCTTCCATTACTTTGTGTCGACTGAGGAGACTGTAGCTATTGAGGAGATGACAATTATCCCGTTCAACTTTATCCCAAAAGTGCTTTTTTCCACCTCCCCAAGAGGCAACTGGACTTTCTCGATGGAGCTCTGGATTTTGGGGAGCCCATATATGCATGGGGTGGCTTCCCCAGAGTAAAGAGGGTAATATTGCCTTTTAGTAGGTGTTTCAAGAAATCAATGACCTTTTCCTTGTAACTACTCGTGGGGTCTCTCTTCAGAGTTTCACATGTAGCAGTGTCCTTCAAAAGACTGTTTGCCTTGGTCTTGTAGTCATCTATGTTCAGGATGACCATGCATCTTCCTTTATCAGCTGGCAGGATGGTGATGTTTGGGTCTCTTTCCAGAGATGTCACTGCCAGAAAGTCCAAGTTGCCTCTTGAAACAACAACAACAAAAAAAGAACCTTTGGGATAATCATGACCTGGATGATTGAGTATCTCCATAGACATTCAACTTTATCAACCCTGAATGCACGATCACTGTCTGTTCAGAATGTTCTGCAAAGCAGGTACTATCAAGCCACTTAAAAGGACAATGAAACATGTGTTTTCCCCAGAGAAGTAGAAAATAGAATAACAGAGTTGGAAGGGACCTTGGAGATCTTCTAGTCCAGCCCCCTGCCTAGGCAGGAAACCCTACACCACTTCAGACAAATGGTGATCCAACATCTTTTTAAAAACTTCCAGTGTTGGAGCATTCACAACTTTTGGAGGCAATTGTTCTAACTGTCAGGAAATTTCTCCTTAGTTCTAGGTTCTTCTCTCCTTGATTATTTTCCACCCATTGCTTCTTGTCCTGCCCTCAGGTGCTTTGGAGAATAGCTTGACTCCTTCTTCTTTGTGGCAGCCCCTGAGATATTGGAACACTGCTAGTGCTTCTTTTCATTAAACTAGACATACCCAGTTCCTGCAACCGTTCTTCATATGTTTTAGCCTCCAGTCCCCTCATCATCTTTGTTGCTCTTCTCTGCACTCTTTCTAGAGTCTCCACATCTTTTTTACATTGTGGTGACCAAAACTGAATGCAGCATTCCAAGTGTGGCCTTACCAAGGCATTATAAAGTGGTATTCACACTTAAGCAATGAGATTTATGTTTTGAGATCTGCTGGAAGGTCCTTTACAAGAACGAGCAGACATGTTTGCAGTAATGCTAGAGAAATTGAGACCAAAACCAAGGAACTGATATTTCCAGGAATCAGACAGATACATTAGATAGAAACAAATGTTTAAATGCGAGAGAGATTCCAGAACTCTATTTTGGCACCTTCCTTTAAAAATTCAAAAGAAATCAGTTTGAGAAAGCTACAGCTTTAGAAATCGGCCAAGTGGAATTGGCCACAGGGCGACTTACAAGAAGAATTTAACCGAGGGAGTTTCGCGGAAACTGTGCTGTAGAAACCAAGCTTTGGTTGCCGAGATCAGCCCACCAATGAGATAGTCTCCTGGCCTGTAGTAATTGAATATCTCTTCTTCATCTCTCCCCAAAGTTAAGGGACATTTGGCTGGAAGCATCCCGGAGATTTTACTGGGCAACAGCAGCAGCAGTAGTAGCAAGAGGATCGTTTTTGATCTGTCCGATTTGGCTCTCTGCATTCTGAAAGCTTTAATTTGATGGCTAGAAGAAGGGTGAGAACGAGAACAAGACAAATGCTCTTCAAGCTTCAATGGTGTAGAAAGTCAGCACCCACCCCCTAGAAGAATGAAATATTTGGGGAATATTAAAAGAGGCAAAATATTATATTTCCCCAAAGGGAGAAATGGAGAAACATGCTCTTAAAAGACGGAAAGCAGACTCAAGTCTTTCTTAATGGCCCCCAAGCAGAAACTGAGGAGGCCAGCTTTTAGAAATGTGGATTTGGTAATGCCTTCAAGACAGGGTATTTTGAAACTCCCTGCAGCAAGGTTTGAACATAGGCAGAATGGTAGGATTAGAAAGAAGACCCTCACCCAAGATCCAACACAGGATCACAATATGAATTGCCCAGCAACCTTTCAGCCCCTTTATTGCCCCACTCCCAGAACAGTTCAAACTTGAAAGTCACAGAAACCTATAAAGATCCATCCCACTCATTCAACCATTTTGTCAGCGGCACCGGAACCATAAACCCTGATGGCTCTGTTCATCATTAAACCTTCTTTCCAATCAGCCTTTTCAGCCTCTGTTTCTTGGAACTGAACCAGATGGATTTTTCTTCCAACAATGCTTTTCCAAATTCAGACAGAGCCCAGATGAGGCATTACATATCTAAAAGGGATGAGAATACATCAGCCAGCATAGTCCCTGGCCTCTTGTTAGCCTTATCCCAAGTCCTTTGTCGCGTTGGGGACATTTATTTACCCAGGATTTCTGATGCAAAATAGTATTAGCGTTACTCCTCTATCTGATGTTTATGTCAATGACAATCTTTGGAATCTCTGGAGAATGAGTAAGGAAAATAACAGGCAAATGACCATGGTGTTGATAATAATAGGGAGAAGGATCTCCTCTGTGACCTCCTGAACTCTTGCTGTAGCTTGAGGCACAGAGACATAATTGGAGAAATTTAGTGTCCAAAATTACTGGATCCCTTTCCGTGGGGTTTCAGGCTGGATTATGGGGCAGTAACTGCATTGATCGGGCATGTATGTAGGAAACCCCCTGGCCCAGAGAATGAAATATTTTGAGGGATCTTAAAAGAGGCAGAATATTGTATTTCCCCAAAGGAGAAATGGAGACAAATCTTAACAAAGGCAGAAAGCAGCCCCAACAGCCTCCAGCAGATGCTTGAAGTTTTTAGAGATGGATTATTTTGGGCCCATTAAGAAAGACTGGGCCAATCTATTCACAAACGAAACACCTTCAGCTCCAGCTGATTATTAAGAATTTGCATTCCCCCAACCAAATTCTAAGGACAGGATGTGACCTTTTAAGACATAATAGGAATAATCCACCACCATTAGAATAGCAAAAGACACAAGGCTTGGTACATTGCACAATCCCCTAGCAACCTCTCAGAATAAAAATCCATGTACTCAACAAGCCAATGTCAGCTGTCCCAGAACTTAATGCTGTTGTTGGTTCTGCTCATCAATAAACAGAGTCCTTCTTTCCAATCAGCCCCCATTTTATTTCTAGCTTCTTTCTCCCAGCTTGGAACCGGACCCGATTTTTTTTCTTTCAACATGTAGATGAGAGTGGAGAAAGAGGGATGGGGTAGTGCATTCATACTTGCTCTCCTTGACCTCTCTGTGACTTTCGATACCATCAGCCATGGTATTTTTGGGGGGCCAGCTATGAGATTTGGGCCTGGATGGTGTAGTATTGCGCTGGTTCAGTTCCTTTCTCCAAGGCTCATTCCAATTGGTGTTGATAGGAAGACACTCCTTTATGGGAGGGGTCCCCAACCCTTGGTCCATGGACTGGCACCGGGCTGTGACATATGAGAAACCGGGCTACACAAACAAGTGAAGCCCCATCCGCGGGATGCAGGCAGCACATGAGGGCCCCCAAATGTTACAAATCTAACCACTGCAGTGATTCACTTAACAACTGTGTCAAGAAAGGTCATAAAGTGGAGCAAAATGCACTTAACACGTGTCTCACTGAGCCACCAAAATTTTGGACTCAATTGTCAAAAGCCCTACTAAGCAGGTATATACAAAAGTATGAAAGCTATTGCTTAACGCATTGTAAACTGCCCTGAGTCTCCAGAGAAGGGCGGCATATAAATCGAACCAATAAATAAATAAATAAATGAGCCTGGTGGCGCAGCAGACTAAAGCAGACTGTTATTAACACCAGCTGCCTGCAATTACTGTAAGTTCAAATCTCACCAGGCTCAAGGTTGACTCAGCCTTCCATCCTTTCTAAGGTAGGTAAATTGAGGACCCAGTTTGTGGGGGCAATAAGCTGACTTTGTATAAATATACAAAAAGTATGAAGGCTATTGCTTAATGCATTGTAAGCTGCCCTGAGTCTCCGGAGAAGGGCAGCATATAAATCAAATTTAAAAATAAAATAAAATAAAATAAAATAAAATAAAATAAAATAAAATAAAATAAAATAAAATAAAATAAAATAAAATAAAATAAAATAAAATAAAATAAAATAAAAAAATAAAATAAAATAAAATAAAATAAATAAAATAAATTGTGGTCGTAAATTGAGGACTAACTGTACATCGCAGACTGTGGAAAAGAGTTTCGCTCACAGGAATACTTTTATGCGACGTCAAAGAATTCCTTCTCAGAGAGAAACCGTATGAATGCACAGAGTATGGGAAAAGTCTCGGTGAAAGGAGTAGTTTTATTTCCCACAAAAGGATCCACACAGGAGAGAAACCGTATAAATGCGTGGATTGTGGAAAGGGCTTCTGTCAGAGAGGAAATAAATATTTTAAAGGATCTCATGCTTCCCTCGTAGTACTGGTTTTACACCACATAACAGGCTTCACACCAGAGAGAAACCATATCAATGCCTGGCGTGTGGAAAACATTTCATTTCAAGCTGTCATCTTACTTGCCATAAATGGATCCACGCAGTAGAGAAACGTTATAGATCCTTGCAGTGTGGAAAAAGCTGCTTTAACAGCAGGAACCTTCTGAAGCATGAAATAATTCACACGCTATAAAAAAGAGGTTGAGACGCTAGAAAAAGTGCAGAGAAGAGCAACCAAGATAATTAGGGGGCTGGAGGCTAAAACATATGAAGAACGGTTGCTGGAATTGGGTATGTCTGGTTTAATGAAGTGAAGGCCTAGGGATGATATGATAGCAGTGTTCCAATATTTGAGGGGCTGCCACAGAGAAGAGGGGTTCAAACTATTTTCCAAGGCACCTGAAGGCCAGATAAGGAATAATGGATGGAAACTGATCCAGGAGACTCAACCTAGAAATAAGGAGGAATTTTCTGACAGTGAGAGCAATCAACCAATGCAACAGAAGTTGCCTTCAGAAATTGTGGCAGCTTCATCACTAGAAGCTTAAAAGAGGAGACTGGACTGCCATCTGTCAAAAATGGTGTAGGGCCGTGATGGCAAACCTATGGCACGTGTGCCAGAGGTGGCACTTGGAGCCATATCTGTGGGCACACGAGCATTGCCCTAGCTCAGCTCCAGCTGATTTTTGGGCCTTGGGGTCCCACCGGAAGTCGGGAAACGGGCCATTTCCGGCCTCTGGAGGGCCTCTGGGGGAATGGGGAAGGCTGTTTTTGCCCTCCCCAGGCTCCAAGAAAGCCTCTGGAGCCTGAGGAAGGTGAAAAACAGGCCTACCGGGCCCACCACTAACCTTTTTGCAGTCGGATGCCAAAAGCAGAGGGAAAGGGGGGTGGGGTCGTGTGTGCATGCATGGGGGGCATTGAATTATGGGTGTGGGCACATGTGCGCACGACCCCCCCACGTTTCCCCTATTTTTGGCACGCGACAGCAAAAAGGTTAGCCATCACTGGTGTAGGGTCACTTGCTTGGGTGTGGGGTTGGACTAGATGACCTACAAGGTCCCTTCCAGGCCGGTAAATCTGTTTAAAATGAATATGCAAGTCGTTAAGTGGAGCATGGGGTGCCTCCTGGACGAGGGAGGCCATTGAAGGCCTAGTCTAGGCTTGCCTGCTCTGGCCCTCCCAAGGCCTCAAATGTCCCATGCTCCACTTCCTTGGCTCCAAACAGGCCTTTCCCTCACTTCCCCCAGATCCTTCCAGGCCTTAGGGCCTGATTCTCACCCCAGCAGGCAAACACCCTTCTCACTTAACTTTTGAAGAGTCCCAATGCCTTTCAAAGCGCAGGAATGACTTTATTCTTTGGTAGAGGCATAAAAAAACAGGAATTTAGAAACCAAATAACTTCTATTTTAAAACTATTTATTTTTGTCATTGTTTGTTTTGTCTCTTTTTTTTCCCTTTAATAGGCACAAACAATAAGTAAGAATTCAATGGAAATCTTAGTAACAATATAAAGACAAAAACCGTTGTTGTTTAACAAAGAGTTGGATGTATTTTCCATTAATGCCACATTTAGCTTTGGATGTAAAATTTACACAACTTCAGGCTTATCAACATTGTCATTTCAGAAATCATAGTTAATACTGAAATAAACTTCTTTATCTTTAAAGGTTTAAGTTATCCAAAACATTAGTGTTAATAATCTCTAGTCAATAATGTATAAATACCACTGTACCCAATAATATAATGTACTACTTGTATTTATACTACAATAAAATTTTTTAAAAGGAATTTAGAAATCATTGACTTAATTAATTACAGCATACCATTCTCTACTTCTTATTTGCAAAAGCTGACCCTCTTAAAAGCATTTTTCCTTTTGCTAATTTCCTATTTATCGACATGACTGAGGCATTTTTCTTGCCCTTTCTTGCTTGATGGTTGAAAGGCTGTATCAAATCGTTCTTTAACTTTCTTGCCTCTGAAATTTTCATCTCTATTTTTCCTGGCTACTTAAAAAAAAAAAAAGGATCTTTTGTTTTAAATTCTGGATTTTCTTCCTGCAAGGTTGACTCAGCCTTCCATCCTTTCGAGGTAGGTAAAATGAGGACCCGGATTGTGGGGGCAATAAGCTGACTTTGTATAAAAAAGAACACCGCTTAGAGGGGGCCAAAAGCCCTACTAAGCCGGTATATACAAAAGTATGAAGGCTATTGCTTAACGCATTGTAAGCCGCCCTGAGTCTCTGGAGAAGGGCGGCATATAAATCGAATCAATCAATCAATCAATCAATCAATAAATCAATAAATCAATCAATCATTCCACAATGTCTTTTTATCATTTCTCATAGTGGGTTCTCTTTTCTTCAGTAATTTAAGTGTGTTCAGTTTGTACTTTATTCTTTTTAGTAAATTAGGTGTATTCTGATTATCCTTCAGCTGTAATTATCTCCGTCCTTGAATTCTTCAACTTTCATCTGCACATCTGATGCTTATAATTCAATCTTTTACAGTTTCCATCTGAAAATATCTGGGATGAAAGGACATTTCTCCAGCTTCTGATTTCTATTATACTCAGCCTTCCATCCTTCCAAGGTCAGTAAAAATGAGGACCCAGATTGTTGGGGGCAATATGCTGACTCTGTAAACTGCTTAGAGAAGGCTGTAAAGCAGTGTGAAGCGGTATATAAGTCTAAGTACTATTGCTGGTCAAATGATTTTAATATATTCCATAAGTTGGTGTCCAGATGTAAAGTTTGCATTTATGTTGCCATGAGCCTTACAAAGAGGAGGCTGAATAAACCGAGCCAAAGCCCAGGTGTCAATAAAGAGGCAGATTAATTAGATTGAATAGCCAAGAAGCAGATGCAAACAAAGATAAAGATCCAAGAGAGGAATATGGGAGGCAAGTCAAAAAAAGCAGAGCAATTAAAGTATTGAAGCGGGCAAGAGACGATGGATAGATGATTTCTCTTTTTTGCTGTTGTTCTGATTTGCTTTTCCCTTTCTTTCTTTCTCTCGCTCTCTTTTTTTTTTTAGGTAGGTGACATGACAAGAAAGTTAGGTAGGATAGAAAAAAATGTCTTTTAATAAAGGGTGACATGATTAAAAGGTAGAATAAGTCATAGAAATAAGAGAAGGGGGAGTATTAGTGTATACACTTTTATACAATAAAATAAAGTAATAATGAGAAAATGTGGAATAATTGAATAATGACAGATTGTAATTTAATATAAATGTGTATCATTATTAGAAATATATAAATTGATTGAATGTAATAACTATGATTAATTCTATTAGTTTTGTTTGTATTGGAATGTATGACACCCAGGTGCCATGCTGTTCACGCATTGATATGTTTGTAAAAAATAACAAAAATGTAAATAAAAAATATAAAAATAAAGAGGCAAATTAAAAGACAAGCTTCCCTAGTGAGAGGAGGCAAAAGGAAAGCAGACAGCAGCTGAGACAGCTGAGAAGAAAGAGATTTATTTCTTTCCCTTGGAACTGTACGAGAGAAAAGTTCTCCAAAACCGTTTCTCTCAGTTGGAGCCAATATTCATAAGAAGAGAAGAATCAAGAATCCCAGCCAAGGACAAACAAGTAAAAAAAAGTGGGAGGGAAAATATCAAGATTTGGACAGGAGCGAAATAGAAAACAAATTTGAATTGACAGATTGAATTATGCTAAAAAGGAGCATACCCCTACAGAGAATAACCCTAAGAATATATACGGATTAAGATGGGAGAAATTGAGACGTCAGAAATAAATAAATGTATCGGACATATAGAATAGAAAGATGTGAGATTATAGTGAAACTATAACATTGTTAAGAGGATCCACACACCCATTTCACAGACTGTTTCTGCTGCTCCCTCTGGGAGGAAGTTTTGAAATATTTCTAGCAGGACTTCCAGATTCTGTGACAGTTTTGTTCCCTATGCCATCCGTCTGGTAAACTCACAAGATTTGTTTCTCTCACCATGTACATGCATACATCCAAACTAGACTGTGTTGTTTCTCTGTGTCATGTAATATACCGGTGGGTATATGCATAATTTTGTATTTATTTATTTATCATGTTCATGTAGTGTATATTGGAGTTGGTGACCCTTTGAACTGTATGCAACAAAATTTCCTTTTTAATTTATGCTGACTAGCGTACATTCAAAGTGACAATAGAGTTATTCTAAGTCTAAGTCTAAACTGGACTTTAAAGAATATAATGTAGTTAAACAGCTTGTAGAAAATAGTTAATATAGATTAGTTTCTGAAGAGATTTATAATTTACAGTTCCTTTTTATTTGTAAACTTTCCTTTTGAAAAATAAAAATTTCCTCTAGCCAGCAAGGTAAATGTAAAGGTTCCCCTGGCACATGTGTGCTAGTCATTCCTGACTGTAGGGGGCGGTGCTCATCTCCATTTCAAAGCCGAAGAGCCAGCGCTGTCCGAAGACATCTCCGTGGTCATGTGGCCGGCATGACTAAACGCCAAAGGAGCACGGAACTCTGTTACCTTCTCACCAAAGATTTTTTTTACTGTGTTTGAGTAGGTTACTGCATCTTTTAACCACCCAAGCAAGGATAGGTGGCCTTGGGTGGATGCCAGTTTTCTAGCGAGGGTGGCAATCGGTTACTATGATTATTATTATTATGAGCTTGGTGGCACAGTGTTAAAATGCAGTACTGCAGGCTATTTCTGCTGACTGCCGGTTGAGTGCAGTTTTATTCTGACCGACTCAAGGTTGATTCAGCCTTCCATCCTTCCGAGATCGGTAAAATGAGGAGCCAGATTGTTGGGAGCCAGATACTGACTCTGCAAATTGTTTAGAGAGAGCTGTAAAGCATTGTGAAGCGGTCTATAAGTCTAAGTGCTATTGCGTTAAAAATGTGATTCTAGACCAATGTGATATAATCTCACATATCAACAAAGGTTTCGACATGAGCAAGGTTGGCTGATTTGGATAGAAAATGGTTATGGCCAAAAGACAAGATTAAAATTAGGATGAAATAATAAATGTAATACTCGGGTAATTATTAAATACCATATTTCCCCGAAAATAAGACCCTTATATTTTTTTTGACCCCCGAAATAAGTGCTTGGCCTTCTTTTCCGAGATGTTTTATTATTTTGGGGCGCGTGGAGCAAAATGGGGCTCCTCTTGCCATCTTACCTGATTTCCAGCTCTGTCTCCCTAACCCTAACCAGAGGAAATGGCGGGGACCGGCTGTGCATGCATTTAAATATTTTCAGGGAAGGCTTATTTTTTGGGGGGGGGTTATTTTAGGGCATGTACTCAAAAGCCCGATTGGGCTTATTATCAGGGAATGTCTTATTTTAGGGGAAACAGGGTATACTGCCCACCAATGTACAGTTTAGGGGCAGGAACCCCAACCAAAAATTGGTCAAAGGACTGTAGAGTTAGCAGCTATCTGGTTGCAAGAAAGGGACAGTGCAACCATCGTAAATACACTTCAGTTGCCAAAAGCCCGAATTTTGATCACATGACCATGGGAATGCTGCAATGGTCATAAGTGCGAGGACTGATCATTAATCACTTTTTTCAATGCTATTGTGACTGAACAATCTCTAAATGAATAGTCAAGCACTATCTGGAGTCCTTTTATAACTCTTCCCTCACTCCAATGCATTTATAATTACACCGATTACCTCATGCACAGTAACATCACTATTACATATTCAAATATTTCTCCCTTGACCTTTTATTTGAAGCAAAATTCCTCTTTCTGCACTCCAATGATCCAGACGGCTTTTCTCTGGTCAATTTTTCTGTTTCATAATTTACTACCTGAATAAAGTTGTATGCGCGCACCATGAATTTGGCTTCTATCCCGTGTGGATCCTTTTGTGCATCATATATTGACCACTCTGACAGAAGCTCTTTCCACACTCCGGACACTGATATGGCTTCTCCCCCGTGTGGATTCTTCTGTGGGTCATAAGGCTGCTATTCTGACTGAAGCTTTTCCCACAGTCCGGGCATTCAAATGGTTTCTCCCCGGTGTGGGTCCTTTCATGACGCGTAAGGGCACTGTTGTGACTAAAGCTTTTTCCACACTCCAAACAACGATATGGCTTCTCCCCCGTGTGGATTCTTTTGTGGGTCATTAGGCTGCTGTTTTGACTGAAACTCTTTCCACAGTCCGGGCACTCGAAAGGTTTCTCACCGGTGTGGGTCCTTTCGTGACGAGTAAGGGCACTGTTGTGACTAAAGCTCTTGCCACACTCCAGACAGTGATATGGCTTCTCCCCTGTGTGGATTCTTTTGTGGGTCATAAGGCTGCTGTTTTGATTGAAGCTCTTGCCGCAGTCCGTGCACTTAAAGGGCTTCTCTCCCGTGTGGATCCTTTCGTGATTCGCAAGGTGTCCCGTCATGCTGAAGCCCTTTCCACACTCCGTACATTTAAACGGCTTCTCCCCTGTGTGGATTCTTTCGTGGATCCGAAGTTTGCCTCCGTGACAGAAGCCCTTCCCACAGTCCGTGCACTTGAAGGGCTTCTCCCCCGTGTGGGTCCTTTCGTGACGAGAAAGGGCACTATTGTGACTGAAGCTCTTGCCGCAGTCCATGCACCTGAAGGGCTTCTCCCCCGTGTGGATTCTTTCGTGGTTGATCAGGTGACCTCTCACCGTGAAGCCCTTTCCACACTCGGCACACTTAAACGGCCTCTCCCCAGTGTGGATTCTTTCGTGGATCCTGAACTGAGCTCTCTGCCAGAAGCTCTTTCCACAGTCCACGCATACGTAAGGTTTCTGCCCGCTGTGGATACCTTCGTGCTTCGTAAGGTCACTGCTCTCACCGACGCCTTCTCCACACTCTTCGTGGGGGGTGATGTGTGCTTCCGTGCCTCCCGATGGATAGGAATCCTGCCTTCCATTTACGTCACAGCGTTTTTCACTACTGTTAATTTCCTCTTGATTTCCAAACGTCTCTTCATCCGCTTCGTTTTGGGTTGTTTGCAACTGTGCTGTGCTCTCCTCCTTAGAATTTTCTTTCTCCTGTTCACAGGCCGCTTTAGAATGCAAAGAAAAAGAGAAAAGACAATATTTTGAGCAGAAATAGAATTAAGTTTACCACAAAAAATCAGCTGTATACACACGGAAGAAGGAACTATCCTGAAACCGTAAAATGTTATGTGTGATGGTGAGGGTTAACATTTTTCTTCATAATGCACAGCTTAGGCAAGAGGAGGAGCTCTTGCCTCACAATCAGGAGGTTGTGCGTTCGATCGTAGGTAGAGACAGATATTTCCCTCTGGGCTCAATATCTGCTGAACAAAACTCTGCATCGGCACCCGGTCAGTAAACACTCAGCTCCATTCAGTTGCCCAGCCCCACTCGCACAAGCATCACCGCAAGTGTCACGGTGCTCGCAGCCTCCCTCAGGCAGGTGCTTGCGGCCCCACTCGCATTGGCACTCGCAGCCCCACTCATGTGAGCGTTGTCGCAAATGCGTGCATTGTTGCGGGCGCTCACAGCCCCACTTGCGCAAGCATTGTCACGGGTACTTGCAGCTCTATTCACGTGAGCAACAGGTGTTCGCACGCATGCGCCTGCCCTTTCCACAAAACCATCCCCCCTTTCTCCCGTCCGCTCACTCTGGGCCGCCAATCTGGAAAGGTTGGAGAACTCGGTCCTAGTAGATTGAGGTGATAAATGTCACATAGTGTTGTGGCCCGTACGCGGCCTGTGCAGCTAGTAGCTGATTCAGACAGCGAGGAAGCTGGTGTGGTGCTGCGCCAGCAGCCTGTGCAGCTGGCACTCAAGTCGGACAATGAGGAGGCTGGAGAAGATGTGGTGCCAGAGGCGGGGATTCAGCCAGGGCCTTCAGAACCTCCAGAAGCTCCCTTAAGTGAAGAGGACGAAGAGGAGGAGCCTCTTCTCGATGCACGGGCGCGCAGAGCTGTCAAAAGGCAGGAGTGGCTCCTCAGGAGGAGGTCTCCTCGAGAGTAAGGCTTGGGGCTAATTGGCCACTCCCTTAGCCTATTTAAGGAGGAATGCCGACTGAAGCAATTTGCAGGGAACAACTTCGTTCACATACCTTCGTGTCTTTTCTTGCTTATCTTATCAGCTTCCTGCAAATTGCTTCTGGGCATTCTGCCAACCATAGTAAGTTTTCAGTTATTATTCTTTGAATTCTTGGCAGCTGTTAATACAATTAATTAACAGCCATTGTTGTAAAAGGCTGGTTTATTCAGTAAATTAAGGTCTGAACGGACTTTGTGTGTGCTGCGTTCTTTGGGGTCTGTAGCTGGGGCAGAACACATAAAGAAGGAAAATAAACAGATAAACAGAATGTCTTCTTCTATCTGGAAGATGTCCTCTGATTACAACGGTATTCCACAAATGAACCCAACACAGAGCAAAGAAGGGCCCTTACCCAGAGCTGTCACGTTTTGAGAATTTTCCAGCATGACTTCCGTGTGCAAAGCTTTTTGGTTAGAATCCAGAATCTCCCATTCCTCCTCCACAAAATACACAGCCACCTCCTCAAAGGATACTGAGCCCTGAAAGAGGAAGAAAATGTGTTTTTAAGAGAAGTCCCAGGAAGGATTTCTTGAAAGTTCTCTTCCTCGTTTGACACATCCTAAAAAAGCAAATTTGGCCATGGAGGAAATAGGCATTTTCTTAAAAATAAGGACAGAACCAACCTAGAACTAAGGAAAAATTTCCTGACAGAACAAGTAAAGAACGGAACTACTTGCCTCCAGAAGTTGTGGGTTTTCCCACAGTGGAAGTTTTTAAGAAGAGATTGGACAAACATTTGTCTGAAATGGAATAGGGCAGTGATGGCTAACCTTTTTGCCATCGCGTGCCAGGAGCAGGGGAGGGGTTGTTGTGCGCACGTGTGCCCACACCCATAATTCTATGCACCCCACGCCCACTCCCCCCCGCTTCCCCCCCTCTCCTTGCACGCGATGGCCCGGTGGGCCCGGTAGGCCCATTTTTCTCTCTCCCCAGGCTCCAGAGCCTTTCTATGAGCTTGGGGAGGGCAAAAACGGCCTTCCCCACCTCCCTGGGAGACCCTCCGGAGGCCGGAAACTGGACTTCCTTTACTTTTGCTTGAAGATATTTCATTTCTCATCCAAGAAGTTTCTTCAGTCCAGCTGCCTTCATTTCAGTAAATAAACTATTCCTCAAGTAAATAAATTTTGATTTGCATTACCTTCCCTTGCTAAAGAGCAACTGCCCTAATTTCCATGGCAGGGACTTAGGACTTCCCCCCTCACTCCAAATCTCTCCTGCTGTGAGGAATCTTCCCTTACCTGAGACGGCGACCCAAATTCTGTTTTGGCTTCATCACAAACAGGAGATGTTTCAAGGATTACCACCGATGCCTTTCCATTCCCTACGAACAAGAAAAAGGTGTTGGAAATGGAATATTTAAAAGCCACATGAATGTCTTCTGCGAACTTTATCATCCTATCAAACATCATTTTAGCGTCTGCTGACCAAATATTTGATCGTAAGAAAAGTTTCGTGAATGAAAGGAGCCATGGCTCCGTTGCTTCTACTGGATAAGATACCTTCACTTACATAGGGAGGTGACTGGAGTTGGATCTTCTGTAGAGACCTTCCCAAAAAGATGCTCCTGAGAAAAAGTGGACCCATCTTCCTTTTCTTTGGGCTGTGTCTCCGTCAACGCTTCTGGCACCTGAAACACCAGCCAGAAAGGGATAAAAATGGAGGAGATAGGATGAGGACACACACAAGATGGATGGAATTCTTTTCATCCGCTCCTAACCTTGAAACCTCCTCTGTCTATCCTTGGAGTGGAATTGGGCTCATTCCTGTAGAATAATCATGGAATCCTAGCATTGGGAGCAGGGGTGAAATCCAGCAGGTTCTGACAGATTCGGCAGAACTGGTAGCGGAAATTTTGAGTAGTTCGGAGAACCGGCAAATACCACCTCTGGCTGGCCCCAGAGTGGGGTGGGAATGGAGATTTTGCAATATCCTTCCCCCAGGAGTGGGGAGGGAATGGGGATGTTGCAGTATCCTTCCCCTGCCACGCCCACCAAGCCATGCCCACAGAACCGGTAGTAAAAAAAAAATTGAATTTCACCACTGATTGGAAGGCATCTTGGAGGTCTTTTAGTCCAATCCTCAAACACCCCAGATCAATATGAAGAACGGTGGCGGGAACTGGGTATGGCTAATCTACAGAAAAGGACTGGGTGTGTGTGTGTGATATGATAGCAGTATTCCAGTATTTGAGAAGCTGCCACAAAGAAGAGGGGGGGTCAACTTATTTTCCAAAGCACCAGAAGACAAGACATGAAACAATGGATGGAAACTAATCAAGGAGAGAAGCAATCTGGGATTAAGGAGAAACATCCTAGCAGTGAGAACAATAAACCAGTGGAACAGCTTGCCACCAGAAGTTATGGGTGCTTCATCACTGGAGGTTTTTGAGCTGGACGGCCACCTGTCTGAAATGGTGTGCTTGAGCAGGGGACTGGACTAGAAGACCTTCAAAGTCTCTTCCAGCTCTGTTCTGATTGATCAATTGATTGAAATGGCTGCCCAGACTTGACTTGAAAACCTCTAGGATAGAAGTTCCAGAGGATAGGCTGCTCCATTGCTTAAAAGCTCTCAAAGTGAGGAAATTCCTCCTTTATTTTGACTTTGTATCTCCCATTGTAAAGATGGATATGAAGTATTCCTTGTCCCACAGAGAATCAATATGACAACTCCTAAATTTTAGAAGACTGCTGCCATGGTTCCCCACCTCCTTCCTGTCAGGTTTCGAAGTCGTCTTGAATAAATTGCATTTCAAACAAAGTCTTCGAAAAAAAACCCTCTAATTTATTAAGCACGCACATTCTAACTCCGACTCATTGCAGCCAAGTCTGGCTTCCTCAGGCAAACCCTCCTTTTCTTTTCCCCACTCCTCTATACTCATTGGCCATCTTCCCCGTCACTCTGCCCCTAATCTACTGCTCCCCTCAAAGGAATTTCCCCCCTCCCATCCCATCTCCTAGGTGATATTCTCTCCAGTGAAAATAAGTAGGTGAAGGGTCAAATGACTCTTTCCAAATGCCTCCGCTTCTCTTCTTATGTCAGCATTGGAGTAAGTGCAGCGTGAAATGCTGACACTTCCCTTCTTTAGGTGAAACGTGCCCAGTTTGTTTTAGCTACTCTTTCTAGGATTTAAACTCTAGTCCCTCAACCTTTGTGGCTCTTCTCTGCCCGTTTCCAATTTCTCGGCATTCTTCTTGCGTGGTGTCAATCAAAGCTGGACCCAATGCAAGTATTCCAGCTGTGATCCGACTGCTACAGTGTAAAGCAGAACAATCATTTCTGGTGTTCTCAGCACGTACCTTCTGTTGTGACCTAGGCTTACTGAGTCATTACAAGACACAATTAGTCTTAAACTAACCTATTTTATTGTAACAGCTGAGCATTTTGTTGATTCCCAGCTGAGTCCCAATTAGTTGCAAAACAAGTCCTTTGGAAGAAGTCCTTCGGGATAATCACCAACCTTTATCTTCTTTGACACCCTGCCAAAGGCCTTACTTGGCAAAACCCCACGGAGTTCAGAAACAAACAAGAGATGCCGACTGGAAACAGAGTTAGCAACGTTGCTTTCCTGCAAAAGGCCCCAAGTGCCTTTGTTTCTCTCAATCATCTCCTTGCTTTACTCCCAAGTTGTCCCTTTTGCTTTAGCTGCTCTTGCCTTCTGGCAGCTCTGCGTATACATGCACTAGGAACAGGGTCCTCCTGTGGCGGAGGGTTGCAGGAGGCCATCACAGTTGAAAACAGAGCTTGGGAGGGCTCCACACAGCCCTCCCAAGCTCCGTTTTTACTGGCAGAGACACCACGGGCTGGTCCTTTATTGTTTCCAGGGCGGCCCTGCGGACCAGATCTAAGCACCCCGCAGGCCAAATGTGGCCCGCGGGCCTTACGTTTCACACCCCTGCTCCATGCCAAGATGAAATCTCTCACCTGCTTCTCTACTAGCCCCTCATCCGTTGCTTGACTCAGGAGGAAACCTTCGGCCAGGGCCACCGCCTGGGAACAAGTCTTTGCTCCGCATTCCCTCACCCAGCTCTCCATTTCTGGGGGCAGGACAGCCAGAAACTCCTCCAACACCACCATGTCCACCATCTGAGCTTTGGTGCTGCTTTCTGGCTTCAGCCATTGATGACAAAGCTGATGGAGTTGGCTGCAAACCTCCCTGGGCCCCTTGGCCTTTTGATAGCAGAAATTCCTGAAGAACAAACGATGAACATCAGAACTGATGACTTCTTCATGCAGAATCTTCTGCCTGGTGCTTTTCCATGACACACTACTGGTCCTGTCCTCAAAGGCAGAGAGGCCCTTTGCGGCACCCAATCCTGCTGGCCTTTCGACGTCCATTTTATCTTTATAACTCCAGTGTAGTTTCCACCAGGGCCCAAAAAAATACAAAATCTCTCTTCTCTACAAAGTTGCTTTCGTTCTTAGAGACTGAACTGCACGAAGAGGCTGCAGATGGATCCCACAAGGACAGCGAGTCATTTATCTCCAAGAGCAAAGATCTGATACGTGAAGGAAGATGGTCTAAGAAAAAAAAAGAGAAAAATAATCAGAACCACAGAGGATGACGGTCCCGTCCAGACTGTTTTGGTCCACTTAATTATATAATAAATATCTTTGCAGAGCCAAAGTCTATGGGCCTGCAGCTTTTTTCTCTCCTGGTGTGGGAGACAAAAACATATGAAGAACGGTTGCAGGAATTTGGGTTTGGCTAGTCGAAAAGAAGGACCAGGGTTGACATGATAGAAGTATTCCAATATTTCAGTAGCTGTCACAGAGAGGAGGGGGTCAAGCTATTTTCCAAGGCACCCAAAGGCCAGACAAGGAATAATAGATGGAAACTGAACAAGGAAAGATTCAACCTAGAAATAAGAAGATATTTTCTGTCAGTGAGAACAATCAACCCATGGAACAGCTTTGCCTTCGGAGGTTGAGGGGGCTTAATCGCTGGAAGCTTTCAAGAAGAGACTGGACAGCCACTTGTCAGAAATGGTATAAGGTCTCCTGCTTGAACAGGGGATTGGACTAGATGACCTACAAGGTCCCTTCCAACTCTGTTATTCAAAGCCTAATAGCGTTTGACAGTTTCACCATTATCATTTATATCTCGAAGGAGATATAACTCTCATGGACTATGAATGCTAACATGCTTGTGAAGAAGGCACAGAAGAGGCTGTATTTCCTGAGAATGCTCAGGAAGATAAATCTATCTCAGCATCTACTTCTGTCCTACTATCGCAGCACCATTGAAAGTGTCCTAACATACGGCATTCTTGCATGGTATGGGAGCAGCTCTGTAGCGGACAAAAACGCTCTACAGAGAATCATTAAAACTGCCCAGAATATCATCGGGCTCCAGCTACCAGCCCTGGACGACATCTTCGAATCTCGCTGTTTGAGAAAGTTGCATAATATTCTCAAGAGACTCTTCCCATGCTGCTTACAATCTTTTTGGACTGTTGCCTTCTGGCAGAAGATACAGAACAATTAAAACTCGGACCACACATTTTCTGAATAGTTTTTATCCCAGAGCTATAATTGCATTCAACAATGAACTAAAGGGCCACCATCAGTGAGCTGTCGGACAGCATTACTTGATCTGTTGTGTGGATGTTTGGGTGGTTTAGGGCAGGGGTGGGTTCTAAATTTTTTTTACTACCGGTTCTGTGGGCGTGGCTTATTTTGTGGGTGTGGCTTGATGGTCATGTGACAATTCTTTAGGATTTAGCAGAGGTACTGGTCTACCAGGCTTTTAACTGCTTACAGAGCTATACCGGTCTACCCATTTGTTTTTGGAGGCACCGGTCTACCCATTTATTTTTGGAGGCACCGGTCTACTCATTTGTTTTTGGAGGCACTGGTCTACCCATTTATTTTTGGAGGCACCGGTCTACTCATTTGTTTTTGGAGGCACTGGTCTACCCATTTATTTTTGGAGGCACCGGTCTACTCATTTGTTTTTGGAGGCACTGGTCTACCCATTTATTTTTGGAGGTATCAGTCCACTCATTTGTTTTTGGAAGCACTGGTCTACCCATTTATTTTTGGAGGCACCAGTCTACTCATTTGTTTTTGGAGGCACCGGTCTACCACCACACTGCCTTTTAACACTGATCAGCTGTAGGGCAGCCCTTTGAAGCCCCGTGGCAAGAGTTTAAACAGTTTTTTTCCCCTTCTAGCCGATCAGCTGGGATTCAGGAGGCAGCAATAGATGGGGGGTGGGGGTAAATAAAAGGTAAGAATAATGCAGGGGGGGCAGGGGGGCAGAACCAGTTCGGTGACGTCATATCGTCACCACTCGGCGGAACCGGGCGAAACTGGGAGGAACCTACCACTGGTTTAGGGGTGGGGAATTGTGGTGGGTGGGAGTGCGTTTGAGGATTGTTATGTCTGTTGGACCTGGTCTTTGGGTGTTAAGTGAATTTCATTGTATGGGTATTCTGTGTATACATCATCATAACATTTTTTGTAAAATTGAATTACTTATTCTGCACTATGGAACAATCCCGGACAACTCCTTTCTTTCTTCTGTAGGGGGTCTCATCAAATACTTCAACAGGGATATTATATCCCTTTTGGTTACCTAGGCTAAAGATTCTTACCTGCTTCATTCTGTTTTCATGGCGCTTAACTTGAACCTGAAGGCCAAACAAGGAATCATGGATGGAAACTGAACAAGGAGAGATTCAACCTGGAAATAAGGAGACATTTTCTGACACAACAATCAACCAATGGAACAGAAGTTCGGAAGTCATGGGAGCTTCATCACTGGAAGCTTTCAAGAAGAGAGCGGACTGCCACTTGTCAGAGATGGCGTAGGGTCTCCTGCTTGGGCAGGGTGATGGTGTTGGACTAGATCAGGGGTCCCCAAACTTTCGGACTTCAGGAACCACTAAATTCATAATTTTAAATCCCGCAGACCACTAATATGATCTGCCTAATGACCAGCTGGGTGGGCGAGGCTAGGTAGTCATGTGACTGGGTAGGCATGGTCAACTTGATGTCACTCATGTCGAAGAGTGCCTCACCGGCCTCTATTCGCCCCTCCACTCCCAGCCACTCCTCCCCTACCCGCCCGGGCTCCTTAGGGCCCCAACAGGAAGTAGTTGTTGGAGCTAAGCAGCCACCACGAGAAAGAGTTGACAAAACAGCTCAGTTCAAATTGGATCTGGCCGAGAAGGAGGCTCAGCAGAAACACCTCTCTGAGGACTACGAGCATAGGCTTTCCAAGCAGAGGGAAGACCTGTGGGAATGCAAGGCCAGATACCGGTGCTTGGAGGCTCAGCGGGCTGAGATGGTTAGCCAGTTCCAGGCCATGATGCAGTCCCACTGGAACATGGCCTTTTGGCTCTTCACCCACCAGCAGCACTTCCCTCCAGCCTTCGCTGAAAGCCCTGCACCAGGAGGCTGAAGCAGACCCCAAGTCGGAATTTCTGTCCCTCTCCAACCCACACAAAAAGACCCTGAAGGGAGAGACTATCTGCAGCAACCCAAACGTTCATTGCACGTATTTGTCCTAGGGGCCGTCGTTTGAGGACTCCTGATTTAGTGCAATATAAAAAAATTCAAATAATTTTTCTGAGGACCACCAAAATTTTCTCAAGGACCACCAGTAGTCCACGGACCACCAGTTGGTGGACTAGATGACCTAGAAGGTCCCTTCCAACTCTGTTAATCTGTATCTGCATCTTTGATGAGCCCCACTGGGTTCCAATCTAATTCCAGTCTGAATCTCTTAAATGGAGGGGAATACTTGATGTTGGCTCAGAGGGTTGGACTAGACATGGTCACTCAGGCACTCGTTACCTCCCGCCTGGACTACTGTAATGCTCTCTACATGCGGCTCCCCTTGAGGAGCACCCGGAGGCTCCAACTGGTACAGAATGCGGCCGCGTGGGGGATTATGGGAGCGATGGGGCGCTCCCATGTGACATCCCTCCTGCGCGAGCTGCACTGGCTCCCAGTGGTCTTCCGGGTGCGCTTCAAGGTGTTGGTCACCACCTTTAAAGCGCTCCATGGCTTAGGGCCTGGGTACTTACGGGACCCCCTTCTGCCTACGATAGCCTCCCACCGGCCAGTACACTCCCACAGAGAGGGACTCTTCAGGGTGCCGTTGGCCAGACAATGTCGGCTGGCGACCCCCAGAGGGAGGGCCTTCTCTGTGGCAGCACCTGTCCTCTGGAACCATCTGTCCCTGGAGATATGTAGGATCCCAGATCTCCGTTCTTTTCGCCATGCCCTTAAAACTTTTTTATTTCATCAAGCCAGGCTGGCTTAACCCCCCCTCTCCTCCCTTAGATATTTTTAATTGTTTGTTGTTTTTTTTAATTGAAAAAGTTTTATTGGTGAAACAAACACATTTTCCCCACAACCCTCCCACCCAACCCCCCCTCCCCCTCCCAGAGCAGAACACAAGGTATTTCTATTAACTTTTAACAATAAACTAACTTGCTTAACCAACCATTAAACTAACACCCCCTAAAAAAAAATCTTAACCCCCCATAGATAAAATCCTACTTCTTAAACATAATCCTTCTAATATCACTTATATAGCGCTTATACAGTTTAAAAAAAAAATCATTCATAAGCTATTTGATATTTTTTAGTCTGATACTTATTTTTAATGTAATCAATCCATCTTCTCCACTCCTGTATATACCTTTCTTGTGTGTGATCCTTCAAATATGCTGAAATTTTAGCCATTTCAGCTAAATTAGTTACTTTCAATATCCAGTCATCAATACTAGGCAAAAAGTCCTTCTTCCAATGTTGTGCTATCAACAATCTTGCTGCTGTTAGATATTTTTAATTGTTAATTTGATTTTAGTTGGGGTGTTTTAAATTTATTGAGCCAACATTTTTTTTGAAAAAATTAAATTTTTGTATGTGATGGTTTTTATTCTTGGCTGTTCACCGCCCCGAGTCCAGTGGGAGAAGGGCGGTATAAAAATCTAATAAAATAAAACAAATAAAATAGATGAGGCACTTTCCAACTCTGTTATTCTGCGTTCTAACCCCCACCAGACCTTTGAGGTGGGAGGCTAAGCCTGGGACCCTCCAGGGATTTTATTTCATCAGCACCATCCGAGATCAGGAAACGGGCTACGTGGGCAGCAGGGAAGTCAGAGGGGGCAGCTAGCAAAGGTTAGGATCGTGGAAGGCGCCGAGCTTCTGCAGGGGAGGCATCCTCCAGGCGGCCCCTACCCCTTTCCCACGCACCCGATTCCTTTTTCCCCACCACCTGGGAGCCTCCTTCCCAGTTTTCCCAGAAAGGCGCTTTTAATGCATTGGAGGGTTTGGCTTTCCACGATGCTTTCGTGCGTGAAAAGGAGCGGCTGCATGCAACTCACACTCTCCCGGCTCCGATCCTGGGAAAAACTCCCACGCCTGCATTCCATTCCAAGAAGCTCGGAGGAAAGGCGAACGAGCCCTCGTTCCTAGAGAGGCGAGACGCTCTAGGCGATTTTTTTTTAACCTCTTACTTAAAAGAAAGATTCCCGGTGGCAACGAAGGGCCGAGCTTCCCCCTCCCCCGCCGGCGCATGCGCTCCTCATTTCAGAAGCTAGAGGTTGCCAGGACCAAACAGGGCTGAGTCGCCCTATGTTAGGTGGCATCTTGTAGGCTTTTTATTTTTTTTATTTATACCTGTTGCTTTGAAGCCAGTTGTGGTTCTCATCGTTGTTTCCATCTTTTCCCTTTACTGGAAGAAAGCAAACTCTTCCGACAGGGAAGAGACTGGGAATTATAAATGTCCTTTTAAACACCAGACTGTGTTGTTTCTCTGTGTCATATAATATATAGGGGTATGTGCCAGTGGTGAAATTAATTTTTTTTTAAACTACTGGTTCTGTGGGTGTGGCTTACTGGGCGTGGCAGGGGAAGGATACTGCAAAATCTCCATTCCCTCCCCACTCAAGGAAAGGATACTGCAAAATCTCCATTCCCATCCCACTCCAGGGGAAGGATACTGCAAAATCTCCATTCCCGTCCCACTCCAGGGGAAGGATACTGCAAAATCTCCATTCCCACCACACTCCAGGGGAAGGTTACTGCAAAATCTCCATTCCCGTCCCATTCCAGGGGAAGGATACTTCAAAATCCCCATTCTCCCCACTCCAGGGGAAGGACACTGCAAAATCCCCATTCCCATTGCACTCCAGGGGAAGGATATTGCAACATCTCCATTCCCGCCCCAGCCCTGGCTGAAGGATGTTGCAAAATCTCCATTCCCCCCCCCACTCCAGGGGAAGGATACTGCAAAATCTCCATTCCCTCCCCACTCCAGGGGAAGGATACTGCAAAATCTCCATTCCCATCGCACTCCAGGGGAAGGATACTTCAAAATCCCCATTCCCACCTCACTCCAGGGGAAGGATACTGCAAAATCTCCATTCCCGTCCCATTCCAGGGGAAGGATACTTCAAAATCCCCATTCTCCCCACTCCAGGGGAAGGACACTGCAAAATCCCCATTCCCATCGCACTCCAGGGGAAGGATATTGCAAAATCTCCATTCCCGCCCCAGCCCTGGCTGAAGGATGTTGCAAAATCTCCATTCCCACCCCACTCCAGGGGAAGGATACTGCAAAATCTCCATTCCCTCCCCACTCCAGGGGAAGGATACTGCAAAATCTCCAATCCCACCACACTCTGGGGCCAGCCAGAGGTGGTATATGCTGGTTCTCCAAACTACTCAAAATTTCCGCTACCGGTTCTCCAGAACCTATCAGAACCTGCTGAATTTCACCCCTGGTGTATGCATAATTTTGTATGTATTTATTTATTTTGTTATGTTCATGTAGTGTATCTTGGAGGTGGTGACCCTTTGAGAGCTGTATGCAATGGAATTTCATTTTAATGTATGCCCAATTAGTGTACATTCAAAGTGATCATAGTTATTATTCTATTCTATTCTATTCTAGCCTACTTATTAACAATAATTAAAAAAATAGAAAGGCTACAACAGTAACAAGTACAGGTAGTCTTCAACTTACAACAGTTCATTTAGTGACTGTTTGAAGTTACAACTTCACTGAAAAAAAGTGACTTGGGACCATGTTTCGCACTTACGACCGTTGCAGCATCCCCATGGTCACGTGATTTACATTTGGCGCTTTTGACAATTGACTCATGTATGATGGTGGCAGTGTCCCAGGGTCACATGATTCCCTTTTGCGACCTTCTGACAAGCACAGTCAATGGGGGAAAACAGATTCACTTAACAACTGTGTTGCTAATTTACAAACTGCAGTGATTTGCTTAACAAACGTGGTGAGGAAAGTCGTAAAATGGGGCACAGCTCACTTAACAAATTTCTCACTTAGCAATATAAATTTTGGGCTCGGTTTGTGGTTGTAAATTGAGGGCTTCCTGTATCTGGAAGCTGTAGGGGAAATACAACTTATGAGCTGAGTCTGGCAGTAACATTTGAAAATCTCTTTTCAGTCCAGATATATCATATTTCAGATATATCATAAATTGAGGACCACCTGTATTTCTGGAACTATGTCTTCCCCCCCTTATCCTTTTGAAGGAGCATAGTGCTCAAACCAATATTTGCTGTTTGTTTGTTTGTTTTTTTTCTTTTTTTTTCTTTTTTTTCAATATTTCACCCTGTGCTATACATAAGAAAGGAAGATTTGGTTCTTCGGATATATCCTCATGATCGCCAAAATCCACGTTCTCGGGGTACAGGTACCGAAGCATCCAATTTTCCCAGCGCATAGTCCACAAATGGTTTCCAAATTTTCCAGAAAATGTCTTCTTTATAGTCACCATTTCTAATTTTAATATCACATGTCATTTTATCATTTAAAGCTAATTTCCACATTTCACAATACCATTCTTCTATTCTAAAATTCACATCTAATTTCCAATATCTGGCTATTATAATTCTACCCATTATAATCATAATTCTAATCAATTCTTTCTCATATTTTGTTGGTTCTATTTCCTTAATTATCAACAGTAATATAGTTTCTGGTCTCAATATTATTGCTTTCCCCAACATTTCAAATATCATTTCCTCCAATTGTTGCCAAAACTTTTTAACTTTATCACATTTGTACCACATATGTTCATAAGTCCCTAATTCCATATCACATCTCCAACATTGTTTACTAATTTTTTTATCCATCAATGACAATCTTAATGGAGTCAAATACCATTTCCAAACAACCTTATAATTATGCTCTTTAATCCTTACAGATAAAGTCTTCATAATTCTACTCTTCCAATTCACGTTCCAATCTAAATCTGATATTTTAATATTAAGTTCTTTTTCCCAATTCATCTTCATCACCCTTTATGGTTTTCCATCAAAATTTATAATCTTATATATCTTACTAACGAGTCCCTTTAGCCCAATTTCATCTTTCATAATTTGGAATACTAAATATTCAAATTCAGTTTTACTTCTACTTATCGAACAATTGTCCCTTACCTTCTTAGTCCATTTTTCTATCTGTATTTTTTCAAACCAGCCTAAACCCAATTTTTCAATGATTTCTTTTTTCCTCCTTTCATTTTCTGAAGTTTTTAACCAATCTATTATAGTTTGTATATTTGCTGTTTGTATCAGGGCGCTGATTAATCCCATTCTGCCTTTGGGATAATTGCACCTTGATTATGAGGAGTGGATCGAGGCTTTTCCTTGCAAGCATACTTTAAGAAAACAAAACCCGAAGATACTTCTTCTAATAAACTCATTTATTTGTTATAAAGAAAATAAAACATCTAACTGATCTAATTAGTTACATTTTTGAAAAAGTTCGGGCTGGCTATTTCTCAGCCAGACCTTTCTGGCAAGAGAACAAAGGAAAGTGTGTGAAAGAATGTGGGTGGAGAGACTTGCGCAGTTTAGCTTACTGATAAGGATTCTTGGCAAGCTACGGAAAGTCTTGATAGTCCAGAAATAATGAGCTCAGCTGGTAAATAAAAAAACGCAGTGACAGTTTGCTTCTGGTATGATATACTGCTAGAAATCATTTATTAGGAATTAAGCTTTGTTATTGGCTTCTGCCTATATTATTGGATACTGTCAGAAATTAGTTGTTAGGAACTCATTCTAATTTAGTAAATTGTAACCTTATTATTAGTTGGCATTAGTGCAAAGTTTGTTATCTTGCTTCTATTCTTGGCTTCAAAGCTAGGCACGTCCTTGAAAATATAGAAGAAACTTACCGAGGAATATCAGGCCCCATAGATAAAGGAACCGGAGTAGGGAGTTTTATCCAGCTCGTGGAGTGGTGGGGTTAGGCACGGCCCCTGACCCCTCTCCTCCCAGCCACTTTCTGCATAGCTGGCTTTTCCTGGCTGATGGGGGCCCTGGGGAGGCTTCCTCCAGCCGTCGCCCTTATCTTCCACTGTCCAGCCGCACTTCCCACTTCTGCTCATTTCAATGGTTCAACACTCACCACACGTTGCTGCCACAAAGGTAAGGCCAAAGGGCCTGGGTGGGCAGGGGAGGGCCCGTGAGCGGGGTGGTGGTGGTGGTGGTGAAAGGAGGCAAGAAATTGGATGAAAACGACCCGTTTTTCACCTCCCCCACCTCCAGAAGATAGAGATAGACAGAGAGAGAGAGACAAAGGGAGAGAGAGAAAGAGAGAGGGAGACAAAGGGAGAGAGAGAAAGAGGGAGAGAGAGAGAAAAAGAGGGAGGGAGAAAGAGAGAAAGAAAGAGGGAGAAAGAGAGGGAGAAAGAGAGAAAGAAAGAGAGAGAGAAAGAAAAAGAAAGAGAGAGACAGAGAGAGACACAGAGAGAGAGATTTCTCATGCTCCTTGGGGCGGAGAAGAATTGCTGCAAAACTGAGTTTCTTGAAGGGAACCACTAGACTCCTAAACAACTGAAAAAATGATCTAATAAAAAGAAAAGGCAACCAAAAGAGCAACATGCAAACAAAAGCAAATAAAACACCCCCAGGAGCAAAACAAAGTTTAATTTGTGTGCATTGTTCAATGGACTATTAAATTGGCCACGCCCACCTAGTCACATGACCACCTAGTCACGCCCCCAGCCCCCCCCAACAGTCTGAGGGACTGTGAATTGGCCCCCTGTTTAAAAAGTTAGAGGACCCCTGGTATAAACCCTAAACCAAAATAAATCCACATTGGCACAGAAGAAGCGAAACCAGCTCTGGGCTTTTTAAGAAACTGATGGAGATAAGTGTTGTTTTTGCAAAAATCAAGTGCCGTTTTGAGAAACGTGTGTTTAGAAGTTCAATTGAGCATTCAGGATACTAGGGAAAAGGTCAAGATTAGAAAAAGAAAACAGGAAAGGTCTGTGGTTCTGATAAGTGAGTCAGCTTGTACAAAGACTAGCCGACAGCTTTAACCGCAGTCTGGCACATAGTAGAGACATTAACTACCATATTTTTCAGAGTATAAGATGCACTTTTTTTCCCTCCTAAAAGAGGCTGAAAATTTGAGTGCTTCTTATACTCTAAATGTAGCTTTTTTAAAGTTTTTTTTCAGCCCTAAGGAGGTGCTAGCGAGAGAAGCGATCTCCGTGTTTTACCCGCTTTTCTCATTGCTTCTCTCTCCAAAGATCAGTTGTGCTTTAGAAGCTGTTTTTTATCCCCAAGCAGGGGATAAAAACCAGGAAACTAATGTGTTGAATCTGACCAGACTAAGGATGCTAGCCAGATGAATACCTGGCAGGCAGATTTCCCCCCCCCCTATTTTCCTCCCCAAAAACTAAGCTGCGTCTTATACTCTGGTGCGTATTATACTCCGAAAAATACGGTACTTGCCTCAATTTATTACGTTTATGTTTCTAAGATTATAATGAAACAGGTTAAGAAATCAATTTAAAAAAGGAAAAGGGGGAGCAGGGCAAAAGGTGGGGACAGATAAAAATGGGGAAGTTCACGGAGAGGGGAAATAGGCCTTCCAGAGAACATTGTGACCTTGTAGATGCAAGGGAGGGACTTGTGCTTCATGTTGAGGGAATAAAAAGCTGTTGAAATTTATTCTTGGGTGTGCCTATTTTGCTGGTCACCTGCTCTTGCAAGAACGTATTTTACAACAAATAATGCTTGCTGCTTCACTTCATGACTCTGTCGTAGAAAGTTAGCACACACACCCTGATGGCGCAAGAGCGTTGCCCTAGCTCAGCTCCAGCGTGCATGTGCACGCCACCCAGCTGATTTTCGGGCCTTCCGGGCCCACTGGAAGTTGGGTAACAGGCTGTTTCCAGCCTCTGGAGGGCCTCTGGGGGGGATGGGGAAGGCTGTTTTCACCCTTCCCAGGCTCCTAGAAAGCCTCTGGACCATTTCCGGCCTCTGGAGGGCCTCTGGGAGGCTGGGGAAGCCATTTTCGCATTCCCCAGGCTCCTAGAAAGCCTCTGGAGCCTGGGGAGAGTGAAAAACAGGCCTACTGGGCCCACCGTGCCATCACGTGCCAAAAACGGGGTGGAGCACAGCAGGTCATGTGCGCATGCATGGGGGGGCGCGGGGCGCATTGAATTATGGGTGTGGGCACCCACACACACCCGCACTCCCCCGACTTTTGGCACACAACGGCAAAAAGGTTAACCATCACTGCCCTAGAAGAATGAAATATTTTGAGAAATATTAAAAAGGCAAAATATTATATTTTCCTAAATGAGACATGGAGGCAGGAAACAGACTCAGTCTTTCTTAATAGCCCCAAAGAAACTGAGGAGGCCATCTTTTAAAAATGCGGATTAGGTAATCCATTCAAGACAGGATTAAAACCTCCAAGGAGGCCAGCATCTAGGATTAATTACGTTTGTTAAACAAGGTTAAAACCCCCAACTCATTGCCGGCCTTCCTGAGACAAACTAATTAAAATGAAATAACAAAATACACAAAACGAGCCTCTAAATTACAAAATTCGATAGAACAAACTGTCTGTTGGTTCTGTTCATCATTAAAACCATCCTTCCAATCAGCCTCCATGTTTCCAGTATCTTTCTCCCAGCTTGGAACTGAACCAGTTCCAGCTGGATATTTCTTCCAACCCTGTCAAATTTCTGACTGGCGACTGTGTTTCTCACAGCTTCCCGGGGCAAAAGCCTGCATAGTTCATTTTCCCTTTCCTCACGGGCCACCCACAGTCCATTTTGCCCACCAATCACTTCTCTTCATTTTGTTATGAGAACGCTGTGACATCTGCTCTGGGTGTCCTTGAAGCGGGGAGCAATGTCTCACGGCAACCGGCATGCTTGGAAGCCATTCCTCTCCCTCGCCCACCCCCGTTACACTCCAATCCACCACCGCCCTATTCTTTGTCAAGCTGCGAGCGAAGAACATAGGTGAAAATTTCAGTCAGCCTTGACAGCTGGCTCTATGAAATCTCCACACTGGCCAACTCACACTCCTTGGTCATCAACTGCCTGAAATGGTATATAGGGCGGTGATGGCTAACCTTTTTTGCCGTCACGTGCCAAAAGCAGGGGGACCGCGGGAAAGTCATGTGCGTGTCCATACCCATAATTCAATGCGCCCCACCCCCTCACGCATGCTCACTTGACACACACACACCCCCCCGCTTTTGGCATGCGATGGCACGGTGGGCTTGGTAGGCCCGTTTTTCGCCCTCCCCAGGCTCCAGAGGCTTTCTTGGAGCCTGGAGAGGGCAAAAATGGCCTCCCCCCCCACCCGGGAGGCCCTCCAGAGGCCGGAAACAGCCCATTTGCCAACTTCCGCTGGGACAGGAAGTCCCATTTTTTTGTCCTCCCTGGGCTCGAGGCTTTCTAGGAGCCTGGGGAGGGCGAAAACGGGACTTCCCCACCCTCCGGAGGCCCTCCGGTGGCCTGTTTGCTGACTTCCAGTGGGCCCGGAAGGCCCGAAAATCAGGTGTGCGTGCCGGAGCTGAGCTAGGGCAACACTCATGTGCCCACCGATACGGCCCCGTGTACCACCTGTGGCACACGTGCCATAGGTTCGCCATCATGGGTATAGGGTTTCCTGACTGAGGAGGGGGTTGGACTGGAAGAATTCCAAGGTCTGTTCTGTTCTATTCTATTCCACTCTACTTACTCTACTCTATTCTTATTCTACTCTACTCTACTCTTACTCTACCTTCCTCCATTCTATTCTTATTCTACTCTATTCTATTCTCTCAAACCCTGCTGATGTTAACAGGATCAACCATTTGAAATTGGACAGTGGTGTTTTTGCTCCCACAATATTCAACTCGCCTTCACTGGACGAATGCCTGCTTTATAGTTCTAATCCTTTCCCCCCCCACCCCCACCCTGCTTCCTAAAAATGAGCCCCCATTTCTGTACTCCAGTTCTCCAAATTTGCAGTTTTTAATTGCTTTGTTCCATCGTCGCTGCACATCGTCTTCGTTCGTTCCCTTGGCCAAAGACCCCCACTGAACCGCCTTTGTGGGAAGCCCCCCCCGCCCCCCACGAACAATGAAATATTTTGAGGAATATTTAAAAAGGCAGAATATTACATTTCCCTGGATGAGAAATGGAGAAACATGCTCTTCGGAAGCAGCCCCTCACCTTCCCTAAGAGCCCACAGCAGACGTCAGCACTTAGATAGAGATAGCTGTATTCATAGGCAAAAATTCCCTGCAGCAAGGTCTGAATCAGGATTAGCCCTCAACCGTTATAGGAATTGCCCAACACCATTTCAGAACACAAGTTCCTTCATTGCATCATCTCAGTTGCAACCCCCACCCCCCAAAAACAAACCTGGGAGCTCAACCTACAGAGCCAGCTATGATGCCTACAGCAACCAATAGAACACATGTTCTTGCACAGGAACAGGAAGCTCAAGTGCAAAACCCAAGAGGAAGTATAAATACCCCTCACTCTCAACTCCATGTGGTCAGCTGCCCAGGACCATCCATGTGGTTCTGCTTCACCATTAAACCATCTTTCCTATCAGCCTCCATCCTCCATTTTGACTCCAGTGCTTTTCTCCGGGCTTGGACCTGGATATTTCTTCCAGCACCTTCTTTCCCAAAGTAGCAAGGTGGGCGATTTCACTACTGCCCCCTCTAAAAAAAAATAAACACAAACACACATCCTGCTACCTCTCCGAGGCCAAGATAGCAGTTCATTATAGGTACTCCTCGACTTACGACCGCAACTGAGCTCAACATTTCTGAGGCTCATCAAGGCAGTCGATGAACTTTTTTTTTTTTTTTTTATTTGATTTATATGCCGCCCTTCTCCGGAGACTCAGGGAGGCTTACAATGCGTTAAGCAATAGCCTTCATACTTTTGTATATTTTATATAAAGTCAGCTTATTGCCCCCACAAACTGGGTCCTCAATTTACCTACCTTAGAAAGGATGGAAGGCTGAGTCAACCTTGAGCCTTGAGATTCGAACTTACTTTAATTGCAGACAGCTGGTGTTAAATTACAGTGCTTAGTCTGCAGAGCTATCCAGGCTCTGCAGGCTTTTGCCACAGTTAAGCGAATGGCTGCAGTCGTTAAGTGAATTGTGAGATTGTTTAGCGAATTTGGCTTTCCCCATTGACTTTACATATCAGAAGCTGGCTGGGAAGGTTTTAAAAAAATGGTGGTCACATGACCCGGGGGAGAAGTGCAACCGTCATACGTACGTGCCAGTTGCCAGGATTTTGATCACATGACCATGGAGATGCACTGGTTGTTAAGTGTGAAAACCAGTAAAAGGCACTTTTTTCAGTGCCGTTGTCGCTTTCAATGGACTCTAAATAAATGGTTGTAAGTTGAAGACGGCCTGTACAATTGTCCTCCTCCTGCTGCCCGTCTCTTTCGCAGCAGTCATTCCACTTTCAAAATAACTTGGTTGGTTTTCGATAGTGGTTTCTAACTTTATTTTACATTTCGCAGTTATTTCAAGACCAAAGAAAAACGTTTGATTTATGCCAGTCTTTCAACCCCTTTCATCCCAGCGGTTTAATCTCAAACCGTTTTTAAACATCTTTCTTTTTCCAGGGAGAGATGTATGATTTAAACCAAGGCTGCTTTGCAGATTTTCTTTAACTTTTCTCTTGATCGGTTCTGGCTGCCTTTCAGAATTAAAACTCCCAGTTCCCAACTGCCCCTCCCTTGCAACACAGCAAAACAGGTGGGTTCTGCAGAGGATCTGAGTGATGGGGCTGGCTCAAGCTGCCCCATCACTGGCTCCCTTCTGCCAATCAATGTTCCCCCCTCCCCAAAACACCTCACCAAGGAGTGGTTGAAGGCTGGGCCCTGTTCAGTGTCCAGATGGGAGGGTTCTGAATGGAAACGGGGACTTTGCACAAGCCAGGTACAGAGGTATAATCCAGAAATCCGGTTGAGAGAATTTCCCCCCTTTCTTTGCAGAATCTCCCATGTCCTGTATGTCAACTCGCAAAGTATCCCTGGCCTGCTCTCGAGTTGCCATAGGCAAGGGGGATGGGAAACCAATGAAGCAACATGGCAGCCAAAGTCAGGAGCACATTCCAGAGATATCCTTCCCAAGGCTGTCTCCCAGGGTTACCTACAGTGGCCTGAGGGGGCTGATCTCTACAACCTGCAAAATTGCTCCGTTGGTTTTCAACTTCATGGCCCTCCTTTTCGAGCCCCTCCCATACAGATAGTCCTCGACTTACGACCACAGCGGACCCCCCCCAAATTTACATTGCCAAGCGAAACACTTGAGATAACCTTGTTAAGATAAACTTGTTAAATGAATTTTTCCCTATTTTATGACCTTTCTTGCCACACTTGCTAAAAGTGCACCCGTTTGGTTGTTAAGTTCATAGAGTGGCCATTAAGCGAATCTGTTTTCCCCATAGACTTTGCCTGTCAGAAGGTATTGAAAGGGGATCGTGTGAGCCCCGGGACGCTGCCACCGTCATAAATATGAGTCAGTGGCCAAGTATTTGAATTTTGATCACGTGACTGCGAAATGGGGTTTCTCATACCTGGGGGAGGGACCTCTAGAACAGGAAGTGGGTGGTAGGAAGAACATCCCGAAGGCCATCGGACCAGAAAGCGTTGAAGGCTGCAAGTGGCAAACAACGCAGAGCCAATGAACAGCTGATTCCGACTGACTGCAAGCCGGCTGACGATCAGCTGATTGTGGTTGCCTGCAAGCCGGCCAATGAGCAGCTGATCGTCGGCCAGCTTGCAGTCAGTCAGAATCAGCTGTTCGGTTTAATAAACCATTGGGAACCCAGAGTGAGTGGCGTCCTGATTTTGGTTTAGGTCCAGAGCTTGGACCTTTGAGACCAGGCTTTGCCTTCAAAACTAGACCAAGTTGATCACTCGGCTTTCGCAATCGATGCATTTATAGGGTTGATCCCCCGTGTAGCGATTTCGGTAGGCGGGAAGGTTATCGCTGACCACGAAGCTTTTCCCGCACTCCGCGCAGATGTAGGCCTGCTCCCCTGGGTGATCCCGCTGGTGCCTATCAAGGCTGCCCTTACGGCTGTAGCTCCTCCCGCAGTTCATGCACTTGAAGGGTTTCTCCCCCGTGTGGGTTCTCTGATGTGTGGTCAGGATGGATTTCAGGCTGAAATATTTGCCGCATTCCAGGCACTGATAGGGTTTCTCCCCCGTGTGGGTTCTTTTGTGCCTCTTGAGGCTCCCGCTCCGATTGAAGCGTATCCCGCATTCGGTACATATGTAGGGTTTCTCCCCCGTGTGGGTTCTTTGATGCGCAGTCAGAGTCCCGCTGTCGCTGAAGCTCTTTCCGCACTCAGTACATCGATATGGCTTCTCCCCCGTGTGGGTCACCCGGTGCCGGTTGAAATCGGATTTATATTTGCATATCTTCCCACACACGGGACACTGGATCCTCCACTTCCCTTGGTGACCCTCTTGCGGGACCAGGAGATCATGGATGTCGGCATCCTGAAAGGTGGAAGGTTTCTTCTCGCTCTTTGATGGTTTGGGAGGCTCTTTTGGATTTGGGAAGGTCTCCTTTCCTGCCTCAGGGCTGGTTGTTTCTGATGACTCCATAGATGATTCTTCGTAATTCTCAGTGTCCTGCCAATCACCTGGGAAAAGGGAAAGAAAGGGAAGGGAAAAGGGAAGGGAAAAGAGAAGGGAAGGGAAGAGAAGAGAAAAAAATGAAGGGAAGGGAAGGGAAGGGAAGGGAAGAGGAGAGGGGATGGGATGGGAGTGGAGAGGAGAGGAGAGGAGAGGGGAGAAAAAATGAAGGGAAGGAAGGGGAAGGGAAGGGAAAGGAAGGAAGGAGAGAGAGAGAAATAGAAAGTCTTAAAAGTTTATCTTTAACATTCCCTCCTACTCTCAGCGAAAATCTAAGTTATCTCCCAAATTAATTTCAACATGTTTGCAGTCTATTTCTCATATAACTGTATAAGTAATCCTCGACTTACCACAGTTCATTTAGTGACCATTCCAAGTTACAGCAACACTGAAAAAACCTGACCTTTGACCGTTTTCACACTTACAACCGTTGCAGCATCCTTGTGGCCGTATGATCAGAATTCAGATGCTTTGGCAACTGGTTCATATTTATGATGGTTGCATTGTCAGGTGATCAACTTTTGCAACCTTCTGACAAGCCAAGTCAATGGGGGAAATCCAGATTCCCTTAACAAACCGTGTTACTAACTTAACAAATGGAATGATTCACTTATCAACCATGGCAAGAAAATTTGTAAAATGGGGAAAACTCACTGAACAAATGTTTCACTTGGCCACATAAATTTTGGGCTCAACCATGGTCGTAACCCGAGGACTACCTGTACTGGAATTTTCAAACTGGAAGCAGTCAGTCTAGGTTATCCATGAAGATCTGGGGCATTTTTACCCCTCTTTCCATCTGACTCTCTATGTCAGAGTTTCTCTATCTTGACAATTTTAAGATACGTGAACTTTAACTTCCAGAATTCCCAGATGCTGGTTGACGGCTCGCTGGCTGGGAATTCTGGGAGTTGAAGTCATCGAAGGTGAGAAGCACTGCTCTCTATGCTGCACAAGGATAAACAGGAGTTCATAACTTCAGCCTCCAACAGTCGTGCAAGAAGCATCCTTACCCACAGAAGTGACAGTTTCATTGCTCTCCAACATGACTTCCTTCCGTCGGGCCCTCTGGCTTTGATTTTGGAGAACCACCAACTTCTTCAGCCTCTAAGATCACCAGCCTCTAAAAAGAGGGGAAACATCAAGTTATCTCCCCAATATTACTGTATTGGTCCAGGACACCCCTCTGACTCAGCCTATCTTAGAATTTTTATAGGCAGATGGATGAATTTCCAAGCAATTACTAAAGGTTAGGGAAAGTAACACATCCTAACAATAAGAACAGTTCTTCAATGGAACCTATTACCTTGTTTGTCAACTTTGGCAGCTTGACGATATCTGGACTTCAACTCCCACAATTCCCCAGCCAGCCTAAATGGCCTTTTCTCGCTTCAACTGTCTTATTTAATTACTAAGAGGATCAACAGGCTCCCCTTTGCTTTTTCCAGCAGAATACAGACATCTACATATTGGGTGTGCTTTAATCTGGATTTGTATCTTAAACAGGGAACTAAAAGGCCCCAACTTTATACCTTGCAGGGATAAAATCGTTACTGTTACCTTTGCATCGAGGCTTTTCTTCAATATTGCAAGGTCAATAAAAGGCAAGGGTCCTATAGGAAGAGAAAAAAAAAATCACACGGTTATTCGAAAAGAAATTATTTTGAAATATGCTTCTCTCACTCCTTGTTCACTCCGAAGTGAAATCAGAGCAATTGAAACAACGCTATGAATGCTGCCGCAAGTGGTCGTAAGTCGAGGACTACCTGCATATGTACGAGTATACACGTGCATGCAGATACGTGAGTGTATACATTCGCGGGTCCACGTGCACACGCACACACGCACAGGGCTTTAAGGCAATAGATTTAATTTTTTTTAATCTTCTGGTTTAATCTTCTGATCGCCCCGCTTTGCAATTGCTTGCATTACCCTCTGCCTGTAATAATGGCAGAAGAAGCTGGGGGGGGGGGGAGAGACCCTTCTGTTTACACCCCCACCTCCCAAAAAAGCAGATTTCGTTTCCATGCCCCATCCTGACCTCACTTGCCGAATGGATCCATTCATTGTTTTCGTCCTTCCCCAATTTTATCTCCTTCCCCTCCCCCCTCCGCATCACCTACCCCTCTTCCGCCCCGTTAAGGCCTTTTTTTTTTTACACCCCCTCCCCACCGGCCCTCTTTTCCAGCAACACCAAAACAGGTGTGCGGGTTCTTCCCTTCCCCCGCTATGCCCATTTCCTGCCTCTCTAGGAATCCGCGCGCTCTTATCTTTTAAATCGCTACAAGGCGTTCTCCATCGTCGCCCTCCGTTTTTGCTCTCCGGCTGCAGATGCCTCCTTTCTCCGCTTTCTCCTTGCATTTGGGCTAATCAGGATAGCGGCGATCAAAGGTCTGGAGGTTTTTTGTTTTTTATTATTATTATTATTTATTATTATTATTTAGCGGAATAACAGAGTTGGAAGGGACCTTGGAGGTCTTCTAGTCCAGCCCCCTGCTCAGGGAGGAAACCCCCTATACAGGTAGTCCTCGAGTTACGACCCCAATGTTGAGTCCAACCTTGATGCTGCTAAGTGAAATTTATCTTTAAGTGAGTTTTGCCCCGTTTTACAACTTTTCATGCCACGGTTGCGAAGTGAATCCGGCTTCCCCCATTGGCTGCTGGTCAGAAGGTCGCAAAAGCGGATTATGGGACACTGCAACCGGCATAAAACACGAGTCGTTTGCCAAGCGTTTGAATTTTGATCTGGTTAACCCTGGGGATGCTGCAACCGTCATAAATCTGAATTTTGAATCGTGTGGCCATGGGGATGCCACAGCGATTGTTAAGTAGGAAAAACTGTCGTAAGTTGCTTTTTTTCAGTGCCGTCGTAACTTGGAATGGTCACTAAACAGGTGAAATCTAAAATTTGTTACTACTTGTGGGCGTGGCTCAGTGGGGGGGGGTAATGTGACTGGGTGGGCATGGCCAACTATTTTTTTTTTTTACTTTTAAAAGCATTTTTTCTACAAGCTTAAGAGGTTGTAGAAAACCCTCTACAAGGCTTTTAGAAGCCTCTGACGATCAGGCAACTCAGCTGGGATCGCCAGAGGCTTTTAAAGGCATTTTTTTTTCCTACAACCTCTTCGGCTGAAGAAGTTGTAGAAAAAATGCTTTTAAAAGAAAAAAAAGCCTCTGATGATCGCGCGGCTGGGTATGGGGTGGGGGCGCAGGGATTTTTGCTACCGGTTCTCCGAACCACCTGCCGCCATCGCTACCGGATCGGGCGATTCGGTCCGAACCGAAAGCATTTCACCCCGTCACTAAATGAGAACTGTTGTAAGTCAAGGACTACTTGTACTATTTCAGACAAATGGTCCATTTCACTCTCCTGGGGGTGGAATGGACAAAATAGAAATAGTAAACCCAAAGGTGCTTTTTCAGGAGGCAACTGGACTTTCTTGTTTTATCAAACATTATTCAGTTCAATAATGAACTGAAGAAGCTTCTTGGATGAGAAGTGAAACGTCTTCAACGAAAAAACAAGAAAAGCCCAGTTGCCTCCTGAAAAAGCACCTTTGGGACAACCATGACCTGAATGACTGAGAACCTCTATAGACTTTTAGAAATAGTAAAGCTTTGCAAAGACTTCCAAGTCTTCAAACGCTTGCAAAGGTAACAGTACACCAGGTAGTCCTTGACTTACGACCACAACCGAACCCACAATTTGTTGCTAAGTGAAACATTTGTTAAGTGATTTTTTGCTCCATTGTACGAACCTTCCCATCCTTGTTAATTGAATTATTGCAGTCGTTCAATTAGTAACACAGTTGTTCAGTGAATCGTGGCTTCCCCATTGAGTTTGCTTGTCAGAAGGTTACAAAAGGGCAACCGTCATAAATATGAGTCAGTTGCCAAGCATCTGAATTTGGATCACGTGCTGCAACGTTCGTAAGTATGAAAAACGGTCCTAAGTCACTTCTTTCAGTGCTGTTGTAACTCCGAACAGTCACTAAAGGAACTGTTGTAAGTGGGGGACTCCCTGTAACAGAGTTGGAAGGGACCTTGGAGATCTTCTAGTCCAACCCCTGCTCAAGCAGGAAACCCCATACCATTTCAGACTGTTGTAGAATGAAGGGACCAAACAACATTCCTGGGTCAGCCAGAGACAGTTTTATTGCACAAGGTTCAGAGCCAGATTTGTACCTGAAGCTTTGAACCAGGAAAGAACTCTGATACAACTGTTTTTATACATTTCTAAGACAAAGGATTCGGTGAGATCATGCATTTTCCATATATGGTTAACATGAGATCATACATTCTCCATATATGGCTAACACACACCTGTCATATGATAATTGACCCATTTCCTAATTACTAAACCATTAGTAAACCATTATTTTAGTTTATAAGATTATCTTTAGTTAGACAACCTTTCTTAAGTGCTTGTAGTTGCTAATGGGAAATTTACTGCTGTCCTTGGGTAAATTTATTGGATTAAGTAACTCTTTGTAACATATATATCCTTGTGTCCTTCACAGTGAGGTCACTCAGATGTTTTCCATATGGCTGTCTTTCCGTGACATCTAGGTCTCATCAGAAGATATATTACCACTTAATGGGGTTTAGCTGACTTTTAATATAATCTTAATATAATCTGTGAATAGAGAGGGTCTCTCAGAGTTCATGTATCTAAGCACGTCTTCCCCTTATAATAATGTGAATAGAGAGGGTCCTTTAGAGCTCATGTATCTAACTCTGTATGATTCCTTTCTTTTATCCACATTATTACTAGGGGCTGCCCAGTCTCTCCTTGAAAGCCTCCATTTTATGAAGCACCCACAATGTCTGGTGGCAAGTTGTTCCACTGATCAATTGTTCTCACTGTCAGGAAATCTCTCCTTAGTTGCTTGATCAGTTTCCATCCCTTGTTTCTTGATAAAATATAAATGCATTTAGAACGGCAGTAACAACAACAAAAAAAACAACAACCCCACAGAAGTTGCTTCTTGAATTTCTTTTTTTTTTTTCTTTTTTCTTTTTGGCCTTACCAAGGCATTTTATTTTTAAACAGACATACATAAAAACATAAAACCACCTTCAATTTACACAGTGTGTCGGTTGGTTACAAGTCCTTTGTGTGTCTTCATCATATTCATAGCTTACAGTTTACCTAAATTCTCACATTATCGATTTAATATATGTCTATATATTCATTAGTCTTTGTTTACCTATAGCTATTCTTCCCTCATTTTATATAAAATATTCTAAGATTTGAGTTAATTTATATTATATTTATTTATTTTATTAAAATTTATATGCCGCCTTTCTCCCGAAGGACTCGGGGCGGCTCACAAGTATAAAATGACAATAAAAACAATATCGCTAAATAGCATTAAAAGTCCAATTTAAAATCCCCCAGTTAACTAAAAAATTATAACATTCATTTCATCCTTCTTAATCAATCCCATAATAATACTGTATAATTGTATAATAATTAATTGTATTATTATTGTATAATAATACAATTAATACAATGTATAATTGTATTATAATTGTATAATATCAATGTATAATTTTATATAATTCTAGAATTCTTGTATTATAAAGATCTCTATCATATTTCATTTCCATATTTTTTTTATCTAGCCATTGATCAAATAAGTCCCATATCTTATAATATTGTTGATCTTCTTCTTCTCTAATTTCTAATTTTTAATTCGTTTCTATTTACTCAATTTTTTTTTTTACTTTAAATTTGATTATTTATTTATTTATTTTTTGGTACTTTGCCAAAAACTTTTTCCTTTGTCGCTTGATTTTTGACAGGAACCCAAAAAAAAAAGCGAGGGAAGATTTGCTCAAATCTCACCTTGTCGCTTTTTGCAAATTCCGCCCAACGCCCTTAACCCTTCGCCTTCCCTGCCGTGGCAACGAAAAGGAATGACCGTTGCCACGGAAAGAAAGAAAGAAAGAAAGAAAGAAAAAGAAAGCTCCTTATTTTCTTTCCGACTTGGGGGGAGTGTATGTGCTGCGGATGATGGGAACTGCGGTCTTTTTTAGCCCGCTGGCCAAAGCCTTCCTCGCTAGGGAGAGCGCGGCGCCTCCAAGGGTTAAAGCGAGCGAGTTTCGCTTCCTAGAGAGCTTCCCCCCGCTCCACTGATGGAGGCGGAAATGGGAATGGGGTTCAGCCGTTTCCGGCCCCCCCCTCCTCGTTCGCCGGAGGAAAAAAGACCGTTCGCGTTCGGCACGTGCGGCGTCGTTGGGGGCTCCCCCGCGTGACGGTAGGTGGGCGAAGGAGGGGGGGGGGACGGCTCTGGAGAGCACTTCGGGCCGGGGAGCGAAGGATCGGTGCGGGCTGGGCTGGGCTGATGGGGGGGAGGAGGGACCAGTCGCTGCGAGCCCTAGTTGGGGTAGTATCACTTAGTGTTTATGGAGCCAGATTTTTATTTTTATTTTTTCTCCCCCCTGGCGTTCAGCATCTCCTCCTGTGGCTGGGCTCTGCATTCTGGTGGCCCAAGAGAATATAGAATAGAAATAGATACAGATTAACAGAGTTGGAAGGGACCTGGTAGGTCATCTAGTCCAACCCCCCACCCAAGATGGAGACCCTACACCAGAGGTCTTCAAACTTGGCAGCTTTAAGACTTGTGGACTTCAACTCCCAGAATTCTCCAGCCAGCTATGCTGGCTGGAGAATTCTGGGAGTTGAAGTCCACAAGTCTTAAAGCTGCCAAGTTTGAAGACCCCCCTGCCTTACACCCTTTCTGACAAATGGGAGGTCTATCTCTTCTTGAAAGCCTCCAGTGATGATGAAGCTCCCACGACACCCGAAGGCAACTTCCGTCCCATGGGGTTCTCCCTGTTCAGAAAATTTCTCCTTATTTCCAGGTTTGGACCTCTCCTGGATCATCCATTCAAGGGGTGGGCAACTGTGGCCCTTTTACAACCCATCAGGGTGGATAAAAATCAATGATTTTTTTTTAAAAAAATAAAAAAAAACAGATTTTGGATTTTTTTGATTTAAATCGGATTTTTTTTTATTTTTATCAAATTTATTTTAATAAAAAAACTTTTGGGGTAAAAATCTATCGTAAGATAGTTTTCTATTTAAGATACATAAATCATTTAGTTTATTCAGCATGAAACGGAGCTTGGTTATGTAGCATGAGGCTGTATATTCTGCAACCCTGGGACTATCGGTGAGTCAACAGTGGGTCAAAGGAGTAGCAGAGATGACAGTTGCTCTTTAAAAATTATGATTTAAATCGAGTTGATGTAAATCAAGCCTTTTTACTAGTGATTTAAATCATGATTTAAATCGTGATTTAAATCAACTCGATTTAAATCAAATCCACCCTGCAACCCATGGACTTCAACTCCCAGAATTCCTGAGCCAGCTTGGCTGTCTC